TATTTCATTTTCATGCCTGTCATTTTTCCATCTTTCGTATCTTATATGTTAGAAACGCGTAATCTCAGCTCGATGCGGTTTGCACGGATCAATCTTATTTCGGACCTAGATTAATGTCTTACAGCAAATAATTTTGTATCTTATATCAGGTGATACGTTATTTTAGCATCGGCCTTGAACTTTCCGCTTTAACTTCTCTATAACGAATAGGCGCACCATGTAGTAATTTGTGACGACCTTTCTTATTTTCGGTCTAGATTATAACCTTATTATGCATATTTCCATATTTAATATTTCATTTTCATGCCTGTCATTTTTCTATTTTTCGTGGCTTATATCTTAGAAACGCGTAATCTCAGCTCGATGCGGTTTGCACGGATCAATCTTATGTCGAACTTAGATTAATGTCTTACAGCAAATAATTTTGTATCTTATACCCGGTGATACGTTATTTTCGCATCGGTCGGCCTTGAACTTTCCGCTGCAATTTCTCGATAACGAATAGGCGCACCTTGTTATAATTTGCGAAGATCTTTCTTATTTTCGGTCTAGATTATAACCTTATTATGCATATTTCCATATTTAATATTTCATTTTCATGCCTGTCATTTTTCCATCTTTCGTAGCTTATGTGTTAGAAACGCGTAATCTCAGCTCGATGCGGTTTGCACGGATCAATCTTATTTCGGAGCTAGATTAATGTTTTACAGCAAATAATTTTGTAGCTTATATCCGGTGACACGTTATTTTCGCATCGGTCGGCCTTGAACTTTCCGCTTTAATTTCTGTATAACGAATACGCGCACCTTGTTATAATTTGCGAAGATCTGTCTTATTTTGTGTCTAGATTAATACCTTATTATCCATATTTTGTTATTTAATATTTCATTTTCATGCCTGTCATTTTCCCATCTTTCGTGGCTTATATCTTAGAAACTCGTAATCTCAGCTCGATGCGGCTTGCACGGATCAATCTTATTTCGAACCTAGATTAATGTCTTACAGCAAATAATTTTGTAGCTTATATCCGGTGACACGTTATTTTCGCTTCGGTCGGCCTTGAACTTTCCGCTTTAATTTCTCTGTAATGAATAGGCGCACCTTGTTATAATTTGCGAAGATCTGTCTTATTTTCGATGTAGATTATAACCTTATTATGCATATTTCCATATTTAATATTTCATTTTCATGCCTGTCATTTTTCCATCTTTCGTGGCTTATATGTTAAAAACGCGTAATCTCAGCTCGATGCGGCTTGCACGGATCAATCTTATTTCGGACCTAGATTAATGTCTTACAGCAAATAATTTTGTATCTTATATCCGGTGACGCGTTATTTTCGCATCGGTCGGCCTTGAACTTTCCGCTTTAATTTCTGTATAACGAATAGGCGCACCTTGTTATAATTTGCGAAGATCTGTCTTATTTTCGATCTAGATTATAACCTTATTATTCATATTTCCATATTTAATATTTCATTTTCATGCCTGTCATTTTTCCATCTTTCGTGGCTTATATCTTAGAAACGCGTAATCTCAGCTCGATGCGGTTTGCACGGATCAATCTTATTTCGGAGCTAGATTAATGTCTTACAGCAAATAATTTTGTATCTTATATCCGGTGAGACTTTATTTTCGCTCCGTTCGGCCTTGAACTTTTCGCTTTAATTTCTCGATAACGAATAGGCGCACCTTGTTGTAATTTATGAGGATCTTTCTTATTTTGGGTCTAGATTAAAATCTTATCATCCATATTTCGGTAATTAATATTTTATGAGGTCATTTCGGATCTTGCCATTTTTCCATCTTTTGTAGTTTCTAACTCCGAAACGGGTAGTCGTAGTTCGGTGCGATTCACAAGGATCTTAGTTATTTTGAGTCTAGATTATAACTTTATCACTTATATTTCGATGATTAATATTTGATGGCTTGTCATTTTCGGGCCTGTCACTTTTCAATCTTTCGTGTTTTGTATCTCCAAAACGCGTGATCACAGGTCGCTCGATGCACAGGTCGACTCGGATCATTTTTATTTAGTATTTAGATTAATATTTTACTGCCCTTAATTTTGCGGCTTATACCTGGTGTCTCGTCATTTTCGCATCGATCTCTTTTGTGCTATCAGGTTCAATTTCTTATCGTATTTTCTTAATCCATTTTATCATATGTTAAACTACCAAAAGAACGATTATATGTGATTTCAATTCGTGACAATATTCGCTTTCTTTTAAGCACACTCTCAAGTCTCTGCAGTTTTTAGAAGCGACTCTCTTCCAATTCGTCGATTCTTAGAATTTGACCTCTTCTGTGCGTCGATTTTTAGAACCAGTATCGAGCTTTCGTTTCCATTCTTCGTGGATCGCGACCATCTGAATTTTTGCTTATTATGTTATATGCGTAATCAGTTATATATATATATGCATACATATCCATATATATACGAGGGCAGTCTGAGAAGTTTTGAGCCTAACATAGAAACAAATATTTTTTCGGCCAAATGTAATTTTATTTTTCAACATAGTCTTCTTTTAAGTCGATACATTTTTCCCAGCTTTAACCTCTAGTCTCCTTTTAAGTCGATACATTTTTCCCAGCTTTAACCCTTTCAAATAGTAGTTGGCGTCTTGCTCCGCAAAATAGGCGTTTACCTGTGCGATGACCTCGTTCGATGAAAATCTCTGTCATCCAAGCGAAACTTTAACTTTAAGCTTGGGAAAAAGGAAAAAGTTGCTGGGAGCCAGATCTGGTGAATACGGTGGTCAACCAATTCGAAATGCAATTCGTGAATTTTGGCCATGGCGACCGCCGAATGCGTTTTTGGTCCAAAGTGAGCAAGCGCGGCACTCAACGCGCGGATAGATTACGCATGTCCACTTCTTCAGTCAGTATATGACAAACGCATTCTTTCGATATGCCCATAGCCTCTGCTCTATCTCTCTAACCTTGATTCGACGATCGTTCAGTACCATTTGGTGAACATTTTCAATGTTATCGATGGTGGTCGCAGTTTTTGGCCGTTCCAAACACTCATCATCAGCCAAGCAGGTACGACCACGTTTAAATTCAACTGCCCATCTTTTCACGGTGGCAAATGATGGGACAGAGTCTCGGTAAACAGCATCCAACTCGAGTTTTATTTGCGCAGGCATATTGCCTTTCAAATGCAAGAATTTAATCATGGCATGATATTCGATTTTTTCCATTTTTACAAAAACACTGACATCGACAAACGACTGTCAAACAACAACTGAGCGTCCAAAATGGCTGAAATTTTCACAGTCATCTTTCAAAGCATATACCATTGTAGTACCAGAATGATTTTGACGAGTAGAGCCATCTTCATGTTGAGGCTCAAAACTTTTCAGATTGCCCTCGTATGTATATGTGTATATATATTATATATATATACACATATACATTATATATATATATATCATAATTTTTTTAGTATTGTATATATTATTTATTTATATACATGAAGACGAAGGTACAATTCATGTTGAACATGCACAATGTATTATTTGTTCACATTTGCTATTGTTACCTATTTGATCTAGAATCTCATTACTGTTTTACCATTGATACTTATCACTATACTTCCACGCGCGGTTAGTCGCTGTATTTAGCTATACTGACATGCGCGCTATCGGTTTATGAGTTGGCTGCACTGTCCTGTTCTCATGTAAACCGGATCCAAAGCATCTGACTCTATGGCCGCGTTCAGCAGACTCAACAGTTAGACAACATTACTAGATTTACCACTGAATCTCGCTCCTGATTGGTAAATACTTCTGGGTCTATGAAAAATCTAAAAGAATGCTCTAATCACAGACAATAATCACTAAGCGCTCTCTGATCACTTTGTTCTACTGAACGCGGCCTATGATTCAACAATTCGTCTGTTGTATACTCACGGTAATCGATTCTATCCCTTGGAAATTTTTACAAACTGAGAAGTGACTACGTTTCTACACTACTCACAGTCCATGCACAATTAATAAAATAACTAAAACTTGCACTCGCTTAGCTTGGAGGATTGAGACCTGGTCTATAATAGATGTTGTAAGCTGTAAGCCGTAAGAACTGGCTAATTATAGCCGATTATTTTTATAATAATCGACTGTGATTCGCCAATTCTTACGGCTTACAACTTACGACACGTATTGTAGACCAGGCCTCAATCCTCCATAAGCGAGCGTAAGTTTTAGTTATTTTATTAATCGTGGATTGTGAGTAATGTAGAAACGTAGTCACTTCTCAATTTGTGAAAATTTCCAAGGGACAGAATCGATTACTTACCGTGGGTGTACACTAGAAAGCAAAACGGTTTCAACAGTTTTTTTTCTAGTGACATGTGTAATGCGTGTAGTTGTGATTTTGAGGATCATTGCTTAAGCAAATTGCGCAAAACAAAGGATCACGGGTCTCTTTCTCTCTTGTGCAAGTGATTCTCAAATTCACAATTATACGGGTTACTTATGTCACTAGAAGAAAAACTACCAAAACCGTTTTGCTTTCCAGTGTACTTTTATTTTCCAAGTAATACTATTCAACGATGGATCAGACGTGTGTTTATTCTGTTCAAAAAATATGTAAACTTCAGTAGATTATTATTTTTATAAAAATTATACTATTGTAACACTTCGGAAAGCTTTTTGAAACTTGATATTTCTAATTTTAACCATATTATAAATTTAATCATCTTATAAAAATATATATTAAATGAAAAGTAATAACTTTTCAATCGTAAACCTCATATTCCAATTTAGTTTTTACATCGCAAAATTTCTTTTTTTCAGTATTTTATTAAATTTGCGTTTTAAACAGAATTTTAAAGCTCATTTATATTCGTTAATAAAATTTAATAATATCAAATATAAAATGATAAGAGGAATAACTAGCGACGTGGAAACTAATGTATTTGAACTTATTTGAACTTATCGAGACTACAATCGATTCTTCGAACAAAACAGAAGCGAATATCGATTCGTTAGTGGGTTATCACCCTAACTTTAGAGAGTATATGCCTGTATTAGCATGTAAGTAGCGCGTCGATTCGACGTGACATTTAATTTTTGAACCGCGATCGGAACACGCATCGAAAGGTATTTTGACGTTGGTGTATTTTCCGAACGTGCCAACGATCAAAGTAAGATGTCGTCGGGCGTTATAGATATACTTGTGGACATGGGTTTCAGTATATCCAAGGCGTAAGTTTACGAATAACGTCATGTCACCGCTACGCCTAACCTTCGACATTCTATTTAATCGTTCTATTGCAGCGAAAAAGCCTTGGAGATTACCGGCAACAAAGGTGTCGAGCCGGCGATGGAATGGTATGAAGGCGCCGTCGATATAATTCTCGTATCATTCTAACACTCTCGACTTTTATTTCAGGCTGTTGGCGCATTCCGATGAGGCTGAGCCAACGCTTGAACCTACCATGGCAGAAGGCGCTCCGGCACCGGTCACTGATACACCGTCTCAGGATAATGTTGCTGGTGCTACCAGTGAGCAAGTGTCTACCACCGAGACGGCCAAATCGATGAAATGTGATATGTATGTGATATGTTGATACAAATTTAACATAAATTTCTAAGCATAAGGATGTAAATATTCATTTGGATATCAGCAATGAAAAATTGTTTCATATAGAAATTCTATTTTGTTAAAATATCTGCGACAATATCTTACTAATCTGACTAATATGTCATCATGAGGGAAATATAAAATGCAATAGAAATTTTGTTTATAGATGTGGCAAGCTCTTCAAGTCTAACTTAGAGGTAGAGTTTCATGCTACGAAATCAGGACATGACAGATTCTCTGAAAGCACAGAAGAAAAGAAACCACTTACCGAAGAGGAAAAGAAAGAACAGTTGAAAATATTGGAAGAAAAGATGAGACAAAAGAGGAAAGAAAGAGAGGAGCAGGAGAAAAAAGATGCATTTGAGAGAGAAAGGAACAGGATACGGTCAGGGAAGGAAATGTCTGAAGCCAGAAAAAAGTAAGAAATATATCTTAGCAATGTTAACTTCTAATCACTTCTAATACTAAGTAAAATATATAATATCCATTATTTACATTACAGATTAGAAGAATTAGAAATGATAAAGCTCTTTGAGCAAAGAAAACGTGAAAAAGCTGAAGAGAAAGAAGCACGACAGAGAGTAAGAGCACAGATCGAAGCTGATAAAGCAGCAAGAAAAGCTAAAGCAGCTGCTGAGAGCGGCCAATTACTTAATACCGTTCCAGTTCCATCACCCACGACATCTTCCTTGTCTACGACACATCATAGGAAAGATTACAGTGAAACCAAGCTTCAGGTACTAACATAATAAATATACCATAATATAGTTTTAAGGCAGTATAACCCAAAGAATTAAATTCCTTTCGAAATGTATACAATTTTAGCTCAGGCTCACCAACGGGCAAACTTTGATACAAAATTTCGGAAGTAAAGAACAATTGTCCGCGGTGAGATTATTTATAGAGATGAACAGGACGGATGGTACTGGTCCTTTTCAATTAATGACTACTTTTCCTAAGAAAATATTTACAGAGGAGGATTATGACACACCATTGGATGTGTTAGGTATGCTGTATCGATACATTTATCATTGTATACAATGCGTAACTTGTAATGATTTCTACTTGATTATTGGTAAAATTATTATACAATTCTGTAACACGATGACATTATTTGTGCAACAATACATTGATAAAAGAAATATTGATTGATTGATATACATATTCAACATAGAAAGAATCCTTTTTATGGTTAAAGATTGTACAATATGTATTTTTCTTCAACTTCCAGGTTTGGTGCCCTCAGCAGTCGTGATCGTTCAGAAGAAGGTGGAATGATGTAGCCAATGATATCCTAATTCGTAAGCAGAAACACTGATGTACATTCTCATACAGATTGATTACAAGACATTTACCAGATTAATGATAATTCTTCTCATCCGTAAGACATCAGTGAGCAAGTTTGTTGTCTGTAATATATAAGAAGATTTCGTTTTAGTTTTCCTTTTATGATAAATACTATGGGTCTAAACTTAAATGAAAATAGGAGATATTGATTTTACATTGGTACCTGTAACGTTACTCACAGTGTTTTTATACTTCCGTATATTGTGTAAAAGACGATAGAAATATTCGTGATTTAATTTTTAGATTTGTGTGGTAAATATTTTAGTTCAAAAAATATATTTTCTTAATGGTGCATTTTTATATATTCCCAGGAAAAAATGATTATATATAATTCAATTATATGTGAATTTTGTTTCTATATGACCATATATATATAATTATATATAATTATATATGTACATATATGAAGAAATTGTATATATAACTACATATAATCATATATCATATGATCATATAATCATGCTCGTATTTTACTTCAAAGTGAAAAGAAATATATCTAGTAAGTTGTATATTATTTCCATTAGAGTTGTCATGCTGTTACTATCGCTCATTACTTTTTTTCAATAACTTTATAACCGTGTGTAAAACCATGTATAAACCATGTGTAAAATCATATATGATTATAAACATTTTGCACTTTATATATAACGTTATATGAAATTATATACACTCATATGTAATCTCATATAGAGTACCAAATTTCATATATAATTTTATATTTTATCACATATATTTATATATATAATTATATATAATCTTTTTTCCTAGATTGTTAATTAAAAAATAATACTTATTTATCTTGTACGGATAATCTATCTGTGCAATTTATCGCCAAATTCTTACCGCGATGAAAGTTGATTTTGTCGTGTATATGTTGTCTGTGCATAATGTGTAATTTTATCCTATAATTTTAATACTATCCCAGCTTTCCCTTCCTCTCTAATTCTTACATACGAAAAAGTTTACAAAATACAATCGTTATATCTGTATTACTTGGTAGTTGTGTGGTACATGACCAGGATATGTTATCAGTTTAGATTTATTACAGTTCGTAGGGAAATCATAAACTCCATCACAGTCCACTAGTTGTAATGTTTTGTCGAAACAGATTCTTATCTCGAACACATATGATTCACCCGTTTCCTAAAAAAAAGAACTAAGTAGTGATTTATCTGTTAAAAATCTGTAATCTCTTGCTTATCCTTTCTTATATCTAGCGCGATTAGATTAGAACGTTGTTCGTTCATGCAATTACTCATATGAGAGAATAATTTTTTCATTCACCTCATTCTCCGTACACATCACTTGGGCTCTTTTGCCCAGAATCTTTTCAACTGCATGCAACAAATCGTCTATTGTATATTTTTCACCCGGCAAGATGTTCGCTTTTGCAAGCACGTCTATCATGTTGTAAGTGTCGAGTAGTTTCAGACCAGTGTGGAAATATTTAAATACACTATTCAGATCTTTGATGGTAACTGCACAGGTGCCGTGTTTATCCCATTCGTGTCTCCAAAACGAATAGGGCTTGGATCCCTTCTGAATGTCGATCCACTTTTCTTTCAATTCGTTCTCTATAGGTGCTAGAGCACTCGTATTAAAATGCAACGACCTGTTGCAGAACTGCGGGCCGATATGGTTGAATTGCGTGGGCCAAATACCGTGTATAGTCCATTCATCGTGTTTGGGTAGCGAGCAACTATGCGATCCGGAACTTTCTTTCCACATGTAACAAACTGTTGGTGGCCATCTCTGAGTGAATATCACGACGTCAAATTTGTTGGATCTTATAGGTCTCCTCGCGATTGAATAGCTGCAGAGAATGCGTAAAATTAAATCGTGTGTTTTGAGATTGCAATTTTCGCCTTGCACTCAGGATTGTATAGATTCTTTAGGAAATTGTTGAGAGCCTAAAGTTTTATACATATAGATACACATACTTTTATATAATTATATTAAATGATTTGTAACATAATTATACATATGTTATAGTGTTCGTTTTTCATACATAATTATGTTTTGCGCGCTAAGAAATATTTAGATGATTAGAAGCAAAACTTAACTTAGCGTTACTTTAATGTCATAGTAATATCATAACATTTATTCGATTGCAATTGATCGATCAGCCGGATCATTGTTCACATGACAACTGTCTAAGCAAGATTATGTCAATTAACAGGTGGTGGTATGTGTATATAGTGATTGGTGCGTTAGCCGTCCTTGGCACAGTCGACAGTCGTACGTGTATTAATATCTAACGTTAATACATTCCTCTGACTTTTTGGGCTTCGAGATCTTTCTATATATAATTTACTACTTACTACTTATATTTGTACTGTGCACTTGAACATGTGCTAATAGATATTGTCCTCAGTTATCGTGTTTGCACGCAACGAATTACATAATGTTTGCCAAGATTTATTTTTATTCGCCGAGTACACGTCAATTTACTTACCCGTGCGCGACACACAGTAGACACAGCAGGAAGATACATAACACAACATTATACTTGTACATTGCGTCGGTGAGTGGGAAATCGCTCGCTTTGAGCAGGTTTAAGGTAACGGCATTCGTCACTACTTTAAGTGGTAAACTCTCCCACTACCTTCTTATATCAGCAGCCCCACCATTCTGTACCGTTCCCTAGCAAACGATCTTTTAACTGATCATTGTTAAGATTTCCGTAACGGGTGTACCGTGAAAATGTCACTATAACGTCATATGTGGCGTTGAGTATGAATCCTGTATATTTACTGTGACATACGCTACACATAATTTTCATATTTCCCTTATATGATTTATTAACGTGCAAACATTTCCTGTTTACTTTCAACGGCACATTTCTTTTTTCGACGCAGTTGCATCTAATTGGTAGTCTAATTAGCGCCTGATACATTCATAAAAATAATATGATTTTTATGTAAATAATGTTACATACATGTTATTTTACTTTGTATTTCTATTTATTTCATACAATATCTTTTTTTACGTAATCAGTTTCGCTTTATAATTATATCGATAATTACTTGAAACTTAAAAAACAGACAAGTTTTATTTAATTATTAATTATACTAAATAATTTGTAACAATTATATTATTTCTTATTAAAATCTTTTATGCAATGAAATTGTAATAATTTGATGGGAGTATATCGTTTTATAAACGATAAGTAACCGTCAAGTTTGTTGATGAATTGATAAATCTACAGTTGGTCATTTTTTATCACTGATCTTTGGTTATCTTTTCCTTTACCTGTTATACAACAGCGTGTTTAATGATGACAAATGATTTTGACATAAAATTATGTTAATTTGCTCAAAGTATGTTTACGGATGTATCTATAACCGGATGCATGTGCATGCAGTAGAGAAATATTAATAGTTCTATGATGACGCTATCGACATTTGTTTAATAATATATTTTTTTTTAATAATATATTACAATTCTTTATAACTCCAGTGTTACTTTGTACTTTGTACTTTGCACTAGTGCAGTATCGTGACGCAAACTTCGTGCAATACTGATCGTGAACAACTTCGTTGTTCCTCGATAATATTTAACTAAATAGAATTTTCATTTCCTCTCTCGCTTTCTTTATTTCCTTTTCTTTCTATCATCATATTTTATCGTGAAATAATCATAATACACGCACAAAACATGTTGCACTTTACTAACGGTATGTTCATGAAATTAGGAGATAGTAAATTCTTTTTTTTAACTTCATAATATGTTTTTCACTAAGAAATATCTTATATAATAAAACATTAATTTTACTTTTTTTTACAAATCTTCTCTCGTTGAGCGTTGAACACATTACACGTTACACATGCCTAGAGTCACTGTCATGTCGCAAATTTAGAATACTTAAATCTAAAGAGTCTCGGAATACGCATATAATATCAAAATGGTCTTTGATATCTATTATTTATTGCACGTTGAAATGTTTCTTGACAAGTCTTCCGATTAGATGGAACATTTGGAAGGTTTTATTTGGTCGAATTCGTTGCATTAGCAAATAATATGAGATCCCCTTACAAATACATAAGATAATCACAAGGACGAATATATTCATCCAGAAATTGGGGGCGGTTTGTCTACCTAAAAGACGAAAAACTCAAAATCTATCTTCGCTGACACACGTGTCCGCATACACACACACACACACACACACACACATAAATACAATATATATAACAAACAATATGATGACGTTAGACTGTCGGATAATTGTGATTTTAGAAATCCTTACCGATGATCCGAAAGATCTCCACAGGCGAGCTGAAATGACAATATATTTCCTCCAAAGGACAAGGCAATTTCTTCCTGTCGCCATATATGGCTGCTATAAGGGCCTCCAGTCCATATCGGATATAACTCATGTACATAAGTAATGTTCGATAAATCGGTAATGGCGTAGGATCACCAAAGTTTTGCATCGCAATCAGTATTAAGGGACAGGTAATAACAGGCCCGAAGAATATACTATTCTGAAACAAAATATGCGACTGCGATTAAAATGTTTTACGCGCTCTCGCGACACGTAATTATCTTAAGCCGCGAGAGCTTGCGCACGTAAACAGCTACGAACGTACCACGACATTCAACGTGCTGGCGATGCTGTGCGCTATGCTCTCAGAAATAAAGGTGCATAGAAAGCAAGTGCTGAAGAACATGGAGCATCTCTGCCATTCCAAAGGTTGTCCGGTAATCAGGTAGACCATTGTGAGATATATAACTGCTAGCAGTATCTAGAAGAAGAAATATCCGGAAATACTTTGATATTCCGATAAGAGAGTAGCTCTTTTGACATTTCTATCAAGTCGAATATCGACGTAAAGTGATAAGAACAAAATATTCGACGAATATTCGCCACGTGAAAGTATTCCGCATAATGTAACGGTGAAAATACAATTTACCAAGGACCAACCTGTTGAGGTATATTGACTACTGTTAATGCCCAGTAGTAAGCGCTAATATTGTACCATCTGTTGAAGTGCTCCCGCTTCATCAGTAGAATTTGTCCAGGATCTGCAACGAGACCAATAAACATTGAAATACGAATACTTTCCAAGTCGATTAATTTTTTGCCCGCAAATCGATCCTGTTTATGTAAGCTACATCTTTAGAGAGAAATACGATGAATTTTATAAATGTCATGGTAAAAATTAAATTACGATTGTTATAAGTAGCAGAAAATTATTAGAGTCGTTCTTATGTTTATGAGATACTCATGAATAGATAACTTGTAGCAGACATTAAAGTTTTACATTGAATCGATCTCTGGTTTGTCTCAATATCTTATTTTTCTTCTTTTTTTTTTTGTTAACTCAATACTAATCAATACTAATTATGCGTACATGAAGCAGCGAAAATGTTAAAATTGCTCTTACATGTCAGTAAAACAGGTAGCATAGGTATGTAGAGGAATACAATAATGCACGCGAAACAAAAGCCAAAGTTGAAGAGAGCCTTGGACCCATCGTTGCCCATGTTGAAGAAAAGTCCACCAATGACTAATCCCAAGAACACGTGTAAAACTATCTTCAAGTGCATGTTATACTGTGAACACATAGGAATCGCTCATTCGTACGTTCGTCTGGAATACTTGGTTCTTCAGTGTTATAAAAATATTAATTCCTGCGAACCGTGAATTTACCGTATCAAAGTATACTATTTTCTTTTTTTCGGGATACAAACATATTTGTTGCGAAATCATTCAATATTGAATGTCGTGAGTTTCTTTAGTTTCCGAGTCTTCTTCGAGTTCCGATAATGATCAGGTGGCATTTGTTGTTGGCAAAACACATATTTCACTCGATCTTACCGTATCTCGAAAGAGCTGCGTCATCATCCTCTTAATTAGTACGTTGAATTGATCGAACCAAAATATGTTTGGATTTTTCTTTTCGAGTTCGAACATTTGCCTCGATCGATCAATCGGTAAAATCGGCAACTTCGTTTCCACACAAGTGATCATTCGCTCAATCAGATCAGAGCCGTACTCGCCCGATGAGATTTCCACCACTGAAATGGTTGTAACGTAATAACATAACTCCTATTTGACTAAGCGTAAATTTTTTAAATGCTGCAATTTTTTTGTCTCTGCCTTTGTTTCTCTCCTCTCCGAGAGATATTAAACGTGTATCAAAAATAATAAAAGCAAAACTTATATTGAGATAATACAATACTATTTATATTACGTTATTTCCTCCATAGACGAGTATTGATAGAAATTAATGATCAAGTAAAAACTTTGCACGCGAATGATTATTATGTAAATCATAACAGTCAGCTATTATTAACCATATATTCTGCAATTTGTATATTCTTTCAAGAATAAATCTAATATAATCTATGATTCTATACCTTCGAAATATTTAAAAGTTTACACGCGTATAAACTCACCAAAGTCTGCGGGATTGTAGTGTTTCGGACATTCTATATCTATGCTTTGCATATACGGCACTAAGCCGCTGGCGGTGCCTCTGTAGATGCATTGTCCGTTAGTGATAACGTAGATGTTGTCAAATTTTTTAAATGTTCTCGCGCTGGGAGTGTGTATCGAGCAGATTATAGTGCGTCCGAAATGCGCCAATGTTCTCAATAGCTCGATACACTGTAAAGAGGATAGCTCATCTACGCCGCTAGAAAAATCCACTTTACATGTATTTGTATCGGTAATATACTTTGAAAATCTCACAGTCATCAAAAGCAATAATTATATATACGATAATAACTTTACGATATGCGTCGCATTTATTCAGAATATTCATTCGATATTTGCCAAGAAACAACGTTAAAACATTTGTTGAATCATCGTCGATATTTTTTTATTCTTATACTTATCATGTGTATTAATTATCAAGTTGTTATTTGAACTTCATCCTGCACATTCTACATATTTGCCATCTACCTATTCACATGTATCTCTCTTGTTAAAGAGTTATCCACATTTTGAACATGTCGGAACAAAGAGTCATCTTGTTATGTATCTTATACTGTGTAATAAGGAAATTAGTACAAAAAATAGCAGTACACAGACTGTTGCCGAAAGTCAGAATGACGAAATACGTGGACGATTTGAGTGAGAGCTCACCTAATGTTGTAATCATTATGTTATTTTCACGATTAAGCAGCTTTTGCAACTATAACTTCGTACTGGCTCCTTTTTTGTTTGTACATCAGAGGTCTTAATTTTATAAATTCACAATATTCTAAACCAGCTCGGAATCACTTTTCAGGCGATTTTTCCTCCATTTCTTCCCTTTATCTTCTTTCCCCAGGGCCGGCGGTCGTGGATCTGTTAGTCATGTTCTCCATCTCAAAGCTCTTGATATCGTTACATGTTAGATGTTATGATGCCATTGATCCGAAGCGGAGAGCATGACTATCAGATCCACGCCTGTCGGGCATGCAGACGTAGCAATGGGAAAATAAGAAGTAAGTGAGGAAAGACAAACTTTCGAAAATTGCTTGACAAGTGAAAGTGAAATTCCAACTATTGCCTTAAGCTCTCATCAAGCATAAATTGATGTTATAATTATTAAAATTATATGACGAATTTTAATTCCAACAAGTTATCACTATGCATATACAGGGTGAAGAAAAAACCCCGGGACCCCTGAAAATTTCGAAAAACACACTTTATAAAAAAATGTTTCAGACAAAAGTTGTAGCGTTGAAAAAGATCTATTTACCGATCTTAATAATTTGACCTTGGGTGACGTCATCAAGGTCAGGACAAGGTCTCCTCGAATTTTTTAAATAGAACTCTCAATTTTTTACTGCATATTCTGATAGCCCTTCTTCAGACCTTTTCAAAGCACTATGGTTTTATCCAATTTGAATAAGCTGTTCCGAAGTTATCGTGTTTTTTAAAGTAAGATATCTAGCCAACTAAGGCAAGATCGGAGGATGATCCGGCCAACTAAGGCAAGGTCGTAGGATGATCCGGCCAACTAAGGCAAGGTCGGAGTGATCAAGCCAACTAAGACAAGATCGGAGGATGATCCGGCCAACTAAGGCAAGGTCGTAGGATGATCCGGCCAACTAAGGCAAGGTCGGAGTGATCGAGCCAACTAAGACAAGATCGGAGGATGATCCAGCCAACTCGTAAAAATAATTGCGCGACTAACTTCCATGCGTTGGCTCCTATTGGCTTGTCTTAATTTCGTTGATTGATTTATTTCAGTTATTTATTTATTTGAACCATTCTGCTGTTCGATGTTCATTTCTTCCATTTACTCATGTAATACTCATTACAGTTTAGTGAATCGCAAACTCGACTGAAATTCCTCTATTTTTTTGAAAATTATTAAGAAACAGTTTGAAGCTAGTTGTAAGCTGACTTAATTGCACTTCATTCCGTGCTCATTATTATTCTTCAGCACTGTCTTTAGAATAACTTTGAATTGATCCAAATATTAATTTAGTCGATTAGACTAAATCTTATCACTTCTGCTTGTCAATATGGCAAGTCTTTCAGAACGAGAACGCATATCTCTTTTGATGATGAGAGGATGGGATGATCGACTAAGGTCGTACAATGATGTGAGGCTGCTTTTTAATGAAACTTCGTAATCAGGGTAATGCCATTTCAAAATCTACCGTTGAAAGAACGATAAGGCGTTTTCAGGAAACTGGAAGTGTGAAAAATCGTGCAATACCAGGTGGGCCAGTATCAGCAACAAGTGTAGAAAAATCGCTAGATGTTCTACAATCCTTTATCGAAAATCGGCATGATTCGACCCGCAAAGTAGGACAGCAACATGAAATAGATCAAATGTCTGTGCTTAAAATATTGAAAATGAATAAATTTCATCCTTATAAGATCCATCTTGTACAAGAGCTAAATGAAGATAATTTTGATAGGCGCATTGAATTTTGTGATTTGATGATGGAAAAAATAGCCGAAGATCCTAACTATCTATCAAATGTAGTAGTTTTCAGATGAGGCAACATTTCAGTTAAATGGCCACGTTAATCGACACAATTGTAGATTTTGGTCAGATACAAATCTTCACTGGATTGAAGAAACACACACGCAGTATCCACAAAAAGTGAATGTTTGGGTAGGCATTTTGAATAATGTTCTCATAGGTCCACTCTTTATTGACGGAAATCTAACAGCGATAAAATATGAGAATATGCTAAGAAACGAAATAGTTCCAGCGATACAAGCAATCATGGATGACAACTTCGAGCATACATGGTTCCAACAAGATGGTGCCCCCCTCCCACATTACGGAAAGGACGTCCGTAATTATCTGGACACAGTGTTTCCTCATCGATGGATAGGTAGAAGAGGACCTATAGAATGGCCTCCTCGATCACCCGATTTATCACCTAACGATTACTTCCTGTGGGACCATTTAAAAGATAGAGTTTACAAAACGAAACCACAAAATTTGGATGACTTACGAAATCGAATTCTTGATGAAGCTGCTCTCATCCCTGCTGATTACATTCAACAAGCCGTTTCATCTTTTTACGATAGATTAGCTTATTGTCAAACTGTTGATGGCGGACATTTTGAACAATTACTTTAAAGCTTTCCAGTATTGCCTTAGTTGGCCGGACAACTCCCGACCTTGCCTTAGTTGGCCGGATCATCCTACGATCTTGCCTTAGTTGGCTGAATCATCCTCCGATCTTGCCTTAATTGGCTAGATATCTTACTTTAAAAAACTCGATAACTTCGGAACAGCTTATTCAAATTGGATAAAACCATAGTGCTTTGAAAAGGTCTGAAGAAGGGCTATAAGAATATGCAGTAAAAAATTGAGAGTTCTATTTAAAAAATCCGAGGTGACCTTGTCCTGACCTTGATGACGCCACCCAAGGTCAAATTGTTAAGATCGGTAAATAGATCTTTTTCAACGCTACAACTTTTGTCTGAAATATTTTTTTATAAAGTGTATATTTTTCGAAATTTTCAGGGGTCCCGGGGTTTTTTCTTCACCCTGTATATATGTATATATATATATATGTATATATATATATATATATATATATATATCAAAAACCACGGCAGTGGTTTGCGGCAAGGTACGCTTTTTGCTGTATACGCTGCCGTCCTGACTGCCGTGGTACATTCATGCAAACCAACTAGTTGCTAATATATACATATAATTAGCATATTAACATTATGCCGTCCGGTGACACCACTTTGGTGTTATCTGAAAATTTTCACGTAAATGCCGGTGACATGGTCATGGCCACGTTGGTGTCGCGTGCAAAGTTATCAAACAAACGCCGGTGATATCACATTGGTGTCGCGGCGTGTAAAGCTATCGAACAAATGCCAAGATATTGAGATATTGATATTAAATATTGATATTGAGATTAGTAAAACAAGACATTTTACGATCTCTCGAAAAACGCCGGTAACAGGCGGTAAGATCTACACGAGACCTACCGGCGCCAGACAAAAAATCTTGATCACACGTTGCGGACGTCAAAGTGTTAAAATAAAAAAAGAGGATGTAGAAATAGCAGAACTGTAAAATTATAAGATTAAAATATAAGCGGGAAATACATTGCGATTGAGAAGAATTATTCATGTAAACAAATTTATAATCGGTATTGGTACCAACAACCACAATGATTTTTTAAGTTTGCATTTTACACTCACGTTGTTGGTTCGTCGAGGAATATAACTGGTGGATTATTTACTAGTTCGAGAGCGATCATCAGTCTCTTCCTCTCACCCCCAGAGAGATTCTCTGTAAACGTGTTTCGTGATTTCCATAATCGCAGTATGTTTAGAATTTCGTTTATCTGAAAGTACCAAATTCCTTTTACGAGACATGATAACACATAATGTAAAAATATAATAATATTAGGAGTACAAATAAGTTTCCGCCGTTTGACAAAAGATGGCCCCACCAGAAGGTTATGTTGAAATTGTCAGATGTAAAACGTAATATCGTAAGTTTGGACATCTGGTAACAACATAACTTTGAAGTATTAGTGACTCCGTATCAGCATCATATAATTTTTTTCGTGCGAAAATGTCAAGTTTTGTGCCGAATAAGCGTCATTTGTGGGAACTTTTGATTTACTTCTTTAATTTGAAGAAATCTGCAGCTGAGGTGCATCGATTGCTTGTAGAAGCATATGGTGAGACTGCTTTAAGTGAGAGAAGTTGTCGTGAGTGGTTTCAAAAGTTTAAAAACGGTGAGTTTGACGTGGAAGACAAAGAACGTAGTGGTGGAAGGCCGAAAGTGTACGAAGACACGGAATTGGAAGCATTATTGGAGGAAGATTCGTGCCAAACGCAAGAAGAACTTGCACTTACATTAGAAGTGACTCAACAAGCAATTTCACATCGTTTAAAATCGTTGGGAATGATTTAAAAACAAGGAAATTGGGTTCCATATGAACTGAAGCCGAGATACGTTGAACGCCGATTTTGTACGTGTGAAATGCTGCTTGCCAGGCATAAAAGAAAGGGTTTTTTACATCGTATAGTCACTGGTGATGAAAAATGGATCCACTACGATAACCCAAAGAAGAGAAAATCATGGGGACCACCTGGCCATGCTTCAACATCGACAGCCAAACCGAATATTCATGAAAAAAACTCATGCTGTGTATTTGGTGGGATTAGCTTGGTGTCGTGTATTATGAGTTGCTCAAACCGAGCGAAACCATTACTGGAGCTCTCTACCGAACACAATTAATGAAATTGAGCCGAGCACTCAAGGAAAAACGCGCCTATTACTACTTCAGACACGACAAAATTATTCTCCTACATGACAACGCTCGGCCACATGTTGCAAAACCGATGCAAAACCGGTCAAAACCTATTTGGAAACACTTAATTGGGAAATCCTACCCCATCCGCCGTATTCACCAGACATTGCCCCTTCCGATTATCACTTGTTCCGGTCGATGGCACATGGCCTGTTTAAGCAGCGCTTTACATCATATGAAGATACTAAAAATTGGGTCGATTCGTGGATAGCCTCAAAAGATGAAGAGTTCTTCCGACGTGGTATCCGAATGCTGCCAGAAAGATAGGAAAAAGTAGTGGCTAGTGATGGACAATACTTTGAATAAAACGTAATGTACCGTTCTTTCACAATAAATTTCTAATTTTTGATAGAAAACGGCGGAAACTTATTTGTACTCCTAATATATAATATGACTTTCAACGCGAGACAGTTTTGGATAATATGAAATGTATTAATTGTGAATCAGATGTTACATATCATTCTGAACCTGTCAGAATCAAAAAAACAAACAGGACTTGCAAGGTTTGCAAAGTTGTCAAGCGCTAATATCAATCGTATTTTTTGCTATCTCTTTCCTACTCATCCGATCAAAACTTTCATTTGAACTCGATACATCTTATAAAATATACTTATTCTTTTTTTTTTATACGAATCACGAAAGAATATTATGTTAATGGAAAATTAAGTGAGACTGAATACGATAACTCATCGTTGTGAATTGTTACACTTAACGCAAAACGAGTCGCAAAAAAATTAGTTCGTATGCAAAGACTTAGTTCATTTACATTTTATACACATTTTTTATACACATATTTTGTTCTAAAAGTATTTGCATATTTATCGGTGATAATGAAAAAGGTAAATAATAAGCACCAAGCGCAACACGTGTTATTTTTAGTATCAAACTCAAATTATTTTTTTACTGTATATATGTGTACATAAGTTTTTACAAGTAAAACTTATAACTATAATAAAACTCTGCAACACTTCTACTGTACAAAAGAAGTGATATATTAGAACAGTAGCGCCAACTGAGAAACCTAATATATATATATGATTATTGTATACTTAACTTAATATTTTTAGAAATCTCAAATTCAAATTATTTTCTTTTTTAAGATATATATTATGTACATAACATAAGTTTTTATAATATATGTATATAAACTTTTAAAAGTAAAAATTATATCGTGTTATAAAAATTTAACATGTTTGTTAATAGCGTCCAATATTTAAAAAAAATATCTTTTTAAATATTATGTACATAACATAAGTTTTTATAAGTAAAACTTATCAAATTATTTTTTTTGTAAGATATATATGTACATATACTTTTAAAAGTAAAAATTATATCGTGTTATAAAAATTTAACACGTTTGTTAATAGTGTTCAATATTTTAAAAAAATATCTTTTTAAAGGTTATGTTATTCAAAATATTCAAAAAAACCTAGCTGCAAAAAATGTCCATAACATAAATTTTTACAAGTAAAATTTATCATTCTTTATTAGAACACTGAGTTATATGGTTATTTTACTTGTTATTGATAATTGTTATTGATAATAATGAAGGTTTATAATTTATTTATTATAATACTATATAAACTTAAATAAAACATACCGTATATGTATAAAGAAAATTTACAAGAACATTTTATTATAATAAAAATGCTGTCATGTATGTATTAATCAAGTTTTAGTTCGATATAGTTTTTTAAAGTCAAATTAGATATCATTGACATTTCGTCAATTATAATAAGAATAACATCTTTGAATAAAAAAATATCAAAATATGTAGAATATATACACATTCGATATGTATATTCTATAGTGAAGGTTTATAATTTATTATAATACTATATAAACTTAAATAAAACATTACACCGTATATGTATAGAGAGAATTTACAAGTACATTTTATTATAATATATGTTAGGTTTCTCAGTTGGCGCTAGTGTCCTAATATATCATTTCTTTTGTACAGTAGAAAAGTGTTGCAGAGTTTTATTATAGTTATAAGTTTTACTTGTAAAAACTTATGTACACATATATACAATAAAAAAAATAATTTGAGTTTGATATTTCTAAAAATAACACAATACGTGTTGCGCTTGTACTTGGCGCCTTTTTTTTACCTTTTTGTTTAAAAAGATAAGTTTTATATAAGTTTTACTTGTAAAATCTTATGTATTATCTTTAAGTTTTACTTGGAAAAACTTGTTATGTACATATATATACCTTTAAAAAAAAATTTGAATTTGAAATTTCTAAAAATAATTATGACATCAATTGCAACGAACAAATAATTAATCATATTTCTGTTATTTTTATCTTTTCCTCCGTTTAATTTTCAAGTATTCATAGGTTAGGTTTCCTTATATACACTCGTATTCAACGAGACACATTGTAATCATTGTTCAGAAGCTACAGAAAGTTTTGGGACAACCTTTTTTTAAAGAGAAACTTGTTATTTACTTATATTCTTGAATTATATGCTAGACCTTTCATCTTTTTTTTACGATTTAAAGATTTTCTCATTTGTTTTGCTTTGAAACAAAGTGATAAAATAATGTAAAGCCATAAAAAGGACAGAATATATAGGTGATAAATAGAATCCTTTAATTCATCTTCCCGACAGTTTCTTTAACAGAAATGCTTCATAGTGTTAGGCTATACGTCTTAGTATGATTAATATATAGAAATAAGTGACGACTATGACTATCGATTTAATTGTTGAATATAAGATTTTTAATTAACATAATCTTCACATGTTGTATAAAAAAAAAGAAAAAAACGAGGGAAAAAAAGTATTACACATCTTGCACGCGTATCAAGTTCAAATATACTCACGGCAGTACTTTTCTCGAACTGGGATTTCCTTTTGCCAAGTTTCAAGTCGGCGGCAAACGTCATCGCTTCTAAAATCGTGAGTTTCGGCTGCACGAGATCCTGTTGCATGATGTAACATGACATTTTCTTAAATTCATTAATGTCTCGCGGTTGTCCATTGATATTTACAGTGCCATTTATCTCCGTACATCTACGAATAAATTATAGTCATGACTTCGATCGGATTATTGTCGCTTACAACGCCGCATAAAATGTTCATTTTGTGCCGTGACTATTCATTATTGATGCTTCCTGAATTGTGTGTCAGCGCTTACAGTAACTTTATTACTATTATTTATTTATGCCATTCATGCCAATAAGTCGAAGTTATTAACCTTCTCACATATACTTAAGCATGTGATAAGTAATACTTAAAAAATGACGTCAAAGAATGATGTTACACAAATAATCAATTATATGCGAGATCCTGTTGCATGATGTAACATGACATTTTCTTAAATTCATTAATGTCTCGCGGTTGTCCATTGATATTTACAGTGCCATTTATCTCCGTACATCTACGAATAAATTATAGTCATGACTTCGATCGGATTATTGTCGCTTACAACGCCGCATAAAATGTTCATTTTGTGCCGTGACTATTCATTATTGATGCTTCCTGAATTGTGTGTCAGCGCTTACAGTAACTTTATTACTATTATTTATTTATGCCATTCATGCCAATAAGTCGAAGTTATTAACCTTCTCACATATACTTAAGCATGTGATAAGTAATACTTAAAAAATGACGTCAAAGAATGATGTTACACAAATAATCAATTATATGCGAGATCCTGTTGCATGATGTAACATGACATTTTCTTAAATTCATTAATGTCTCGCGGTTGTCCATTGATATTTACAGTGCCATTTATCTCCGTACATCTACGAATAAATTATAGTCATGACTTCGATCGGATTATTGTCGCTTACAACGCCGCATAAAATGTTCATTTTGTGCCGTGACTATTCATTATTGATGCTTCCTGAATTGTGTGTCAGCGCTTACAGTAACTTTATTACTATTATTTATTTATGCCATTCATGCCAATAAGTCGAAGTTATTAACCTTCTCACATATACTTAAGCATGTGATAAGTAATACTTAAAAAATGACGTCAAAGAATGATGTTACACAAATAATCAATTATATGCGAGATCCTGTTGCATGATGTAACATGACATTTTCTTAAATTCATTAATGTCTCGCGGTTGTCCATTGATATTTACAGTGCCATTTATCTCCGTACATCTACGAATAAATTATAGTCATGACTTCGATCGGATTATTGTCGCTTACAACGCCGCATAAAATGTTCATTTTGTGCCGTGACTATTCATTATTGATGCTTCCTGAATTGTATGTCAGCGCTTGCAGTACTTTATTACTATTATTTATTCATGCCATCCATGCCAATAGGTCGAAGTTATTAACCTTCTCACATATACTTAAGCATGTGATAAGTATACTTAATGACGTCGAAGAATGATGTTGCACAAATAATCAATTATATGATGGTGATTATAAGAAAACAGATTATTCAGGCAGCCATAAATCTCGATGTATAAATATTCGAAATATTTGAAATTTCTCCAAAAAAGCTTGACCCAGGAGGTTGCAAGATTAATGAATTTGATTAAGCGATGAAGAAAGGAACAAAATTAACACATGAGAATATGATCGTTTAACTCACTTATAACCCGCGAGAATATTTAATAGCGTCGATTTCCCGGCACCGGAAGGGCCCAATATCGCTGTCAATTCGCCTGACTTGAATTGTCCACTGATTCCCTTCAGAATTAAGTTTGACCCTGTAAATCGAGCAGAATATTCAACAACGTCTCGCACTTGAATAATAATGATTTTCATTGGTAAACGGAAGATATTCGCTCGCTTAATGTATAATTGTATGTTAATGTTTGCCATGTGCATACGCTCATTTATCAAATTTCATGATGTTCCAAAAAAAAGTATGTACACAATGTACTAGGTATGCAACCAAGTTTCCGGGTTTCACACGCATGGATGGCGCTAACGACACATGTAGTCGACATACATGTCTGAAGTGCTTTTTTTATAGCTTGGACATCTGTTAACAATAACCAGTCGTAATACCAACACATATCGCAACGCAAAAATATTTTGTCTAACAACGAAGATGTCGAGTTTTGTGCCAAACAAACAGCATTTGCGGGAAGCTTTGCTTTTCTGCTTTAACTTGAAAAAAAAAGTGCAGCTGAAGCATGTCGTTTGCTTGAGGAGGCCTACGGCGAACATGCACCATTAAAAACTACCTGTGAAGATTGGTTTAAACGCTTCAGAAGTGGCGATTTCGACACTGAGGACAAGGAGCGCTCCGGAAGACCAAAAACAATTGAGGACGCCGATCTGCAAGCGTTATTGGATGAAGATGATACGCGAACACAAGATCAACTTGCGGAGGCATTAAACATGACTCGCCAAGGTATTTCCAAACGTTTGCCATTTACCATGGGAAAAATTCAAAAGGAAGGAAAATGGGTGCCGCATGAGTTGACTGAGAGACAGATGGAAAATCGAAGAGCCACTTCCGAAATTTTGCTTTTACGGCATGAAAGAAAGAAAGAAAATTTCCTGCATCGAATTGTTACTGGCGATGAGAAGTGGATATATTTCGAGAATCCCAAATGCAAAAAATCGTGGCTTTCACCTGGCGAAGCATCAACATCGATGGTACGGCCAAATCGCTTCGGAAAGAAGACAATGCTCTGCGTTTGGTGGGACTAGAAAGGAATCGTGTACTATGAGCTGCTGAAAAGAAGCCGGGCGAAACTCAATGGGCATCGCCTACCGACAACAACTGATCAATTTGAACCATGCATTGCTCGAAAAACGGCCAGAATGGGACACGAGATACGAACGAGTGATATTGCAGCACGACAACGCTCCGTGCCATCGCACTTCCATCGTCCAGGATACCATTAAAACGCTGAAATGGGATCTGCTACCGCACTCGCCATATTCGCCAGACCTGTGGCCCCTTCCGATTATCACTTGTTCCGGTCGATGGCGCATGGCTTGGCTGGGCAATACTTGGCCAATTTCGAAGAAGTGCAAAATTGGTTGGATGGAATGGTTTCGGTCCAAAGACGCGTCGTTTTATCATCGCGGTATTCATGTATATTGCCAAAGAGATGGCAAAAATGTGTAGCTAGCGAGGGACGATACTTTGAATAAACCATTTTTTTGTATTTCTCTTGAAATTTTCCATTTTTCATTGATCAAAAAATCCGGAAACTTAGTTGCGCACGTAATATGTCATGTCTCGTGACAAAAAGAAATTGCTCTGTTGCTAGCAAAAAAGAAGTTGCGTACTATATATGTTTTCACATCTATTTCAATTTCGATAATACAAACTATTGCTTCTTCGTTTTAGCCCTTAACTTTATCTTTCTTCCGTGTATATGATATTAAATTTTAATCCACCTATTGTCACACGGAACTAACGTATCTCAGACATTACGAATTACACAATCATATCAATTATGTTTACGTAACTTATCACATTGCAAAATACAGTTCTTCGAATCGTTTCATCAAATCATTGAAATAATCATGAGTCATTAATAAATTCTGCCATTGTCATCATCGTCACCACCTCATTATTTCTTATATAACACGTTTGTTACACGTGTGTGAAGTTAGCATCTCAAATGTTAGAATCTCACAAATACACGGTATATTATTTGGCATCCAGCATAGTTCCACAGTTCCTGATAGATTTTAACAATAGTTCCGATAAATTTACCGTAAAAATCTTAATTAAAAAAAATGAGATGCTAACTTCCGATACACCTGATAGCATCTCATTGTATCTCGAATATATAATCAAGGAGAAGTAAAATTCCATAGAGTTCTATAGTCTAAACACATTCTGTCAATAATTCTGATATCCTAAAGTTCACGTCTGTGAAGTTAGCCCTCCATTTTGAAAATTTGACAAAAATGAGCATAGTTCTGATTGCCCCCCAAAGAGTTCTAGAGTTCTCTATCAATAAAAGAAAAAGTTCTGTTGATTAAAGTGGTCAAAACACGAAATAAAGTTATGGGGGGCAATTGAAGAAATTGACCGATTTTCGGAAAAAATTTTTCTGCTAGAAAATTCGGCATCTGCGATACTTTGATAAGCTAGAACTCTTTCATTTCTGCTCGAATCGATTCAAGTTATAAGGAAAATCGGTAGAACTCTTCGGGGGGCTACCAGAACTCTGAAGAAATTGAACGATTTTCGAAAAGAAATTTTCTCCTAATTGGTCTTATTGTGTCTAATTAGGAGAACATTTTCTTTCGAAAAACGGTCAATTTCTATAGAATTCTGGTAGCATCCCGAAGAGTTCTATCGGTTTTCCTTATGACTTGAATCGATTCGAGCAGAAATGAAAGAGTTCTAGTCCATCAAAGTAAGCACAATCGTGAAGTTGGCCACCCCCTAACTTTATTTCGTGTTTTGACCACTTTAATCAACAGAACTTTTTTTTTGTTGATAGAGAACTCTAGAACTCTTTGGGGGGGGCAATCAGAACTACGCTCATTTTTGTCAAATTTTCAAAATGGGGGGCTAACTTCACAGACGTGAACTTTAGAACATCAAAACTATTGACAGAATGTGTTTAGATTATAGAACTCTGTGGAATTTTACTTCTCCTTGATTATATATTCGACATACGATGAGATGCTATCAGGTGTATCGGAAGTTAGCATCTCATTTTTTTTAATTAAGATTTTTACGGTAAATTCATCGGAACTATTGTTAAAATCTATCAGGAACTGTGGAACTATGCTGGATGCCAAATAATATACCGTATATTTGTGAGATTCTAACATTTGAGATGCTAGCTTCACACACGTATTTGTTACCTCCATTCCTGCACGTGGTAACGAAAATCTAAAACCAGCATATAATTCTTACGAAAAACTTTAGTATTCTTCACTTGTACATTGTGCGTGCATCGAAATAATGCTATGTCAATATTCATCTGCCGTTCCTGACTCATGAAAACAAAAAGACAGCAGCTCGCGATATTCTTATAGGCTTTAGATATAACTAACACACCATGTGAAACGGTCACGCTTCAATTATTAGGCCTGGTCTACAATATGTGTTGTAAGCTGTAATGTGGTGTAAGCCGTAAGAACTGACCAGTTATAGCCGATTATTTTTGTAATAATCGACTGTGATTCGCCAATTCTTACAGCTTACAACTTACGACACGTATTGTAGACCAGGCCTTATCCTTGCCTTAAGAATTATAACGAGTATTTTTTGTTTCACGGCTTATGTATCATTGATCGAACGGGTGAAGTATATCGATTAAATATGATCTATCGTCATTTATTTGATTGCGTTGCATATTGTAGTTTTTCTGATAATTTTTTCTCTTCTTTGACATTTTATCCTCGAATTTTTTATCCTCCTCTCAAGTTTTTTATCCTCCTCTCAAGTTTTTTGTCTTGTTCGAGTTTTTTATCCTCTTCGATATTTTTATGTATGTATACATTATGTATGTATACATGTATGTATACATACATTATATACACGTATCGGAGTTTCTAACTTAATTATGTACCTGGATATGTCCATTAAGCATGCGGTAGCACGCGCATCTAGCATGATATGACACGAAACGAGATGATACCGAGTATACGTGTTAAATGTTCCAGGATAGTCGTAAATATTTTGCTATTATAAATTATATAAGTCTTATATGATTTATGATAGCAAAACATTTGACATAAATTATATAATATATATATATATATATATATATATATATATATATATATATATATTATAATATAAGACATGGAAAGATTAGTCTTCGACTTATGTATGCGCGATGTATCTCGACGACTTCTCATGTTTTATATGTATATATCGAGCGGCTCATATATAGCATGTCCCAGAACAATTTTAACAACTCTAGGAGACATATGTTTTATTTCGCTGGACGCCGCCAACAACTAGATCGACTGGGCCGTGCAATGGCCCGAGCGGCTGCAACACTTCTTCAATCATCTATGTCGACGTGCGCCCACTCCTCAGATTTTTGTCATTAATAACTCGATAATTATCATGAATATTGCAAAACGTTACGGGATTTTTATGTCTGTTCTAATCCGCTCTATGTTTCCACGAGCTCTGTAACAATGTTCTGGCACATCCTGTATAAATAACTCAGTTCATTGCACGCATAATACGCGGCGAACTGAACTGAAAGTTTTTGTTTTATTGCCAAACTGAATTTGATATTTATTGATTTAATTATTCATTTAATTATCATTTAAATTGTTCTGTTTTGGCAGCGCTCTTTATTGCTCAAGAAAGTTGCATATATATTCTATGATTATTGCTACTTTGTCCGGTATGGATTGGAGGCGAAACTCGCAAATAAATAAAATAACTATAATATTGATCTCTCGTTGACACAATAATTATAAACTTCTCGCAGTTATAATGTAGTTCTAATCTATATATTATTATTATATTATTAGTATATTATTCTCGAGAAATTGTTTTAATTTGCAAACTTATTAACACGAGATAATAACGTTAAGAAAAAGTAAACATTACAAATCCCGTGTCAGTATAAAAAGCGAGAAAAAAATAGAACCTAATTTATGGCTCTTTGTCATAGCAAATTGTGATTTACACCGTTGAGAACACCGTTGTATGAAAAGTTTTCACGACGAGAAACCGTTTTTTAAATTTACAATATCTTTACGGCTGAAAATGTGTTCGTTGCGCGCAAATACATGCGAGTATTCAGTGAAATACTCATGCGGAAATTTTTCTTCATCACTATGGAATTTATGATGAATAATGCAATAATGCTGATTCGCTGTTAATTTACGTCCATTATTCTTTATGCGTCATGGAATTCTTCTGATCAGAATACTAAAAAATTTTGTAGTATTCTGATCAGAATACTACAAAATGTGATTCAGCATTTATATTTTATTTATTAATATGGAATAAAATACAACGTTTCGGAGTTGAAAAACATTTGAGCTAATATTCCGGAAAGTATTGCAATTAGTGAGGAGCAGTGATTTATTATCATTGGATGTATATCAATATTATAATATTGTTTGATACTTATTATAACATCTTTATCATAATTTCGTACTTGAGATAAGTGGTACTACAATTAAAAGTTTAGATAAATTGGCAATATGAATCACTAATACAAGGTTGACTTCTTTTCTTTGTTCTTTCTAGTCATAGTCACCTATATAATCATAGTTATTGAGGTCTTAAGAATCTTAAGAATCTGAATGATCATCGTAGTTCTTCATATGACAATGTCCTCGGCGGTATCAATCAAAGTAAAAACTGGTATGTGTTCAAAGAGCAACAATAATTTTTTTTTGCGGAAACGTACGTCTGCGTACTATAATTTCTGCTGCATAATCTGTTGCATAAGGGAAGTTAAATAATCCGGAAATTCAGAAAATTCTAAATTATTGTGTGCAAGTAGCTCATTGCATTGTAACATATCATGATATAATTATTTTTTGTTCGTGCTTTCTTTCCGCCTTTAAAAGTTGTAAAGTATATTACGGATTCAGAAAAAGAAGCAATTTTGTCTAAATTTGGAATTCGGATATCTTAAGAGCAATAAAATCTGGCAACTGAGACCGGAATTGGGCGAGCAGCAAAATTTTTCTGAGTAGTTTACTCTTGTAGCCAGCACACATCTATAGGTTCTCAACTATTGTTTAAACATATATCGCGAACAACAGATTTGAAACTGGGATATCTTAAGAGCAACAAAATCATACAATATATTAAGATTAGAATTGGGCGAGTAACAAATTTTTTTCGAGTAGTTTATTCTTGTAGCCAGCACACACCTGTAGGTTCTCGGCTATTGTTTAAACATATACCGTGAGCAACAAATTTTAAACTAGGATATCTTAAGAGCAACATTAGACATTAGCAAAATTAGACAATGTATTAAGACTGAAATTGGGCGAGCAACAAAATTTTTTCGGGTAGTTTACTCTTGTAGCCAGCACACGTCTATAGGTCCCCGGCTATTTTTAACACATTGTTTTTTTGGCGAAATGTCTGGCGCATCAAACTTAGGAATAAAGCAACAAATTAGCAACAAAATCGTAGTTTAAAAATATGTATTCGTTTTCCGATTTTTTTTTTTTTTTCGAATGGTTGTGCTAATTTTAATGTTAAGCTAGCACAGCCACTGTTTTCTTTGAAATGGCTGGAGCAACAAAATCGGGAATAGAGCAACAAATTAACAACAAAAAAGCCCTAAATTTCTGTGCTAGTCCCATGCGATTGTGCTGAAATGGCTGTGCTAGCTTAATAGACATGTGCTAGGAACTCCGACATAGAGCTCCTAGCCTTGATAATGTAAGTTGCAATGTTTGCGAAACGTCGGTACAAAGCTAAATTACGACGCAGTATTCATCCGGCAGAAACATATCCTGATTGTATCAATGGCCGCGAAAATCTAAAAACTAAAATATTTTGCCGTTGTTATGATTCATATATATCATTACTTAGATTTAATTAGATTTATTTTTCACGTAGTTGTAATTACATATTGATTTGCTTAAATAATTTTTAGAAAGTTGTTTAAAATTTATATTAATAATAGTTTACATATCACCTTGATCTCATTTTGATAATTAAAATTATTAAAACGGAATTCAAAGATTTGATAAATTTTTTTTCAAAAAGGTACATGACGCATCTATATCCCGTGTGTTATTATTTTTCTGTTTTTTTTTCTCATACAAATCTCATTGATTTTTATTGCATATATGTTATTGTTTTAACAATGTCTATAAGTAAATCTGTCACGGATAGAGTATTATTCGAACAGAGCGATTATTAACTGAATATTCAAATAAATTAAACGACAGAAAAAAATTATTTTTTATGGGAAATCCTTTCCAATTTCGAGGAAATTTAATAATGATACTCACGGACACTTCTTATGGTGCATATGCATTGATATCATGAATGAATTACTTATATTCTAATAATAAATGGTTTACCTTTACGAGAGCCTGGTGAATACATCAAATCATTGAATTCGATGTCTACGGCAGTCATTTTTGATAGATGCGACATTCGCGCGGAGTCGTTATCGCTAAAGGCATTTTTTATGTCATCGTGTTGATCGTTGATTCTTTTTGCGTTGTTTTCCGGAATGACCTCCATAATGATAACAATTGAGACTCCACGAACGACTTAACTTCTTAAATCATCCACTATCTTCCTACGTGATGTAACAAATTGTTCAGCATCGGCGGCGAAATAATACAAGCAACTGCTGGAATCGTACATATATAAAATCGCAAATGCTCCGGAATGTAAAAGAAACGTTACGTCAAACCGGTATATACACATCGATTAACGTGGCAATGTATACTGATTGTGAGTGAAGATAAAAAGATAAAGCAAACGTGAGTTAAAAATATCTTGCCATATATATGCAGAAAGGCCGGAGTATAATTCTCTTCGTTTTTATGTATACAAAAAATGTTACCTTGTACTTTAACACGTTTAAAATATCAATATTGCTCGTGATGAAAATTTCTGTAATAAATCTTACGCGACATCCGAAATCGATAATGTAAAGAACGGCTAATTGTTTAACATGAATAAATTAGACAGTAGTTAAGGGGAGAATCTGGTTTATAGGGTCAAGATTTTCGAATTTTTTTTTTGTTTAATCGATAGTTAAACTTCAAGAATATATTCCCAAAGTTTTAGAGTCCAATTCGAAGTATTTAAAATGCTAGAACGCATGGTGAGTCAGCGTTGCACAGGTATACGAGCGTTCGGCCGGAGCGGGCCGCGCTCTCTGTCCTTCGGTTTTTTTGTCCGGATTTAATACTCAGCAGATGTTTACCTGAGTGAGACGCACGACTTATACTATTGTAATTTCGTGTCTCAATACATATATAATGGTATGTGGGTTTACTTACAAACGTAGGAACAGTACGTGTATGTGTTTTGGTTTTGAGGCGTTTATAGTTTCTAGTTAACAGTCAATCTTGCTCCGATTCTCGACGAATAAAGAGCTTTTATTTAGCAAAGATCGTTTAACAGTTTTAAATATGTATCCAAAAAGCTTAAGAGGTATTTTGCAGCGCGTTTCAAAACCGCTAACAAGAAGATTTCATGGCAACCAGCATTCCAAGAATGAAAGTTATAAAGCCTGATATTGAGAAACACCTTATTTCGATCTATGAAGATCTTTTCAATGAAGATCTTTTGACTAGATGTTTAGGCGGCCACACACAAAATTCCAATGAATCCTTCAATTCGACTGTGTGGCATATCGTTCCTAAACACGTCAATTCGGGCTTTAAAATTGTTCAAATAGCTGCATATTTGGCTATTGGCATTTTTAATGAAGGCTACACTGCCATTTTATTAACGATGCAGTTATTAGAAATCAATATCGGCCAGCAGTGCAAAATGTTTGCTGATAATTACGATGCGCAGCGAGTTACGAGAGGGGAACGGCGCTGAAGCAGCACAACCAAGGAGGCTCACACAGCTCGTAGATTGGACTAAATGCAACGAAACGAGTTTTATGGAGGATCTGAAGGTCTTCAGTATGGCCCTGGTATAGCTGATTAGCATAAGATTACGGTAGGTCACCAATAAATGATATTTTTTCAGATCGCAAACTTTAAACACGTTTCTCTCGAAATATTATTTCGTACTTTCTTAAAATCTGCGGAAAAGATAGAGAAAAAACTAATTGATCAATCGATTTGATTCAAAGTGCGTTAGCTAGAGAATGAACAACCATTCTATGTGAACCTCAAACATTGGTAAAAGTATTAATTTAAATAATTGTTATTGCATAAAAACGGAGGATATTTTTTCTCAAAAATATCATTTTTTTGTTCAAGTGCTAAAAAATTTTGTATTTTACGATTTTTTAACCATGTTCCTGGTTCATATAGAATAAAAATACATGAAAATTAATAATCTTTCTGATTTTTTTGTTTCAGATCAAAATTGCGGGCTATTTAAATATTGTAAAAGTTTTAGAAACCTCAACTGCATTATTGTCGATAAAAAATTCATAAAAATCTACTTTTTTTTTCCTTCTATCCTTCTATCCTTTTATTCTTCTAAACCAGATTCCCTCTTTAACTTCGAGTTTTGTGTCACTTACACACACAAACACACACACACACACATGTATGTATGTATGTATTGTAAGTTATTCCTAAAATTTCTTCGTGAATGCATACATCTCGGATCATTAATTTCTAAGCTGTTTGTTTAATTTCACGCATAAAATAACTGCTAAAATTCGATAAATTAACTGACCTTCATCATGATACATTTGAAATTAGATAATTTCAGATAGTAAGATAATTTGAAGTTAGAAGATGATAATAAACAGTGACAGTAATAGACAGTGATAATAATATAGATCAGCTAATTTAACGAGTTTTAGCAATTATGGGTAAAATTCGTAAACGACTGGCTTAGAAATTAATGGTCCGAGATATGTATGTATGTATTCACGAAAAAATTTTAAGAATAATCTAGAACTGGTTCTGCGTAGGATAAAGCGTTCTGCGAAGTGAAATTTCGTAGGTTCCCGTTAATGCGTGCTCCATAATTGCAGAACGATTACGTGTATGAATTTTTCATAATATTTATAAATTAACACACGAAATTTTGGACTTTGTTTTATCGCAGGCACGAAAACACTTGGAACGGAAATGTAATTACGTGGCCACGTTGTGTCATACGATGTGTTTTCATTCGCTTTATTCCACTGACGGTTTTCATTAGTCACGCACGGCCATGAACAGTTTGAGTCGTTGTTTATCATGGCAATCGAATACAATGAATTCCCATATTACATTCTTCTCGCATCGTTTTGACTCACTTTTTGGAAAGTTCCTTCTAATTTCCCATATATATGTTACTGCATATAACGAAGATCGAAGTTAATACGACTCGAAATTATCGATTTCTCCGAACAAATACTCATACAAGGCTTTTTCAAGGTTTTAAGGTTCCAAGGTTCGTACATCTGTTGAATTTTAATCTTTGACCACTTTATTTCGTCATGTTTTGGTCGCGAGTCACAATTCAACGATGTCTTTATTCTCCTCTTTTTTTTTTACTTTTTCTCTTTAATTTACGGTTTCTATTTTTTTCCCTTCAATCCTCTTTAAAATATGGTTGAAACATAGAATGTAGGTATCGAATTTTATTATTGTTTCGCTATATATCAAGTTACACAGAAATATTCTTATCATTTCTGTATGTTCCAGTTAATGACAACAATAACATTAAGGAACAAACTATGGGAAGATAGTATAGATAGGAAGGATCACAAATTAACGAGTTTAAGAAAATATGAAGTTAATAAATATGTTTTTTTATATGTTATTAAATATGAACACTGAGAAAAATGTATATAAACTATATTGTTTTTTCTGTCTTAGGACATGTTTGTTCTTTGGTTATTCGATCAATTTTCCTTTTACAAAGAAAGTACAATTTATCTCACGGGTTGTTCCTCTCTTTCCTCTACGAACTCTTTAATTCACTCAAGATATTTCGCATTATCGATTTATTTAATCGATTTATTTAACGATTAATTAACATTTGATCAAAATTTCTCTAAATTTTGCTCAATCTTATCGACCACAAATTAAAGTTATAAATCATTATTGCGTCAAATTTCTATAAAGAAATCTATCGAACTTTCCTCTAAAAAATAGTGTTACAAAATCTTTATATCACATGTGCTCACCGAAAGAGAGTTGAGAAACTATCGGTTATTCAATATTTACGATCATGCGGAGTTATTTCCACATTAAAGCACGGAAGTACACAAATTCGTAGATAGTCACACTTACAGTCTGTCTCTGTCCGATGCAAATTAAACACTCCGTTCGAGTTTCACATACGAAAATCACTACGTTTTTAGAAATACACAATTACAATGCTAACTGCGACTGAAAGATGCTTAACCGCACCGACTGTTGCTCGCCAATTAACGTGAGCGGATCGTCGCTCCACAAGCGAAGCAACAAATCAGCCAAAGACTGAGCACGCTGCTAGCAGCGACGATAGACTGCCTCGGAAATCGCATCTCGGTTACTCCTACAACTCTATATATATCTCTCTTTTCATTGTACGCATGCATGACAACACACATTTGTTATACAAACGCGTGTGCTACAGCAGATGTCTTCACGTCAAATGTTGATGATCGAAACAGTCAAAATATTACGTAAATTTGAGTCTCATAAAAAAACGGAGCATAAGGGGGATATTTTAAAGTCATATTTCATTAAAGAAAAAAAAATTACAGCGAAAATTCAAGGAAACAATTTATTATATACACCACGTAATGGCCCGCTAATAAAGTTTAACACAAAGCTTGTAAAATGAACGATTATTTGTTTTATACACGCTACATATAATAAAAAAAATTAAGAAATGATTTACGACCATTTTGTGCAAAAACATATCTGGACTGAAATAATTATATAATAACGCACCGTCGTTATATAATACTAAATATTTATGTTTAAAATATAAATTAATTTAGTCTCACTCAGTTATTAAGGATTAATTTGGTGATAAAAGGGACACGACGATTCATGCAAATTAGAAAAAAATAATATTTCGTGTTTAATATTACGTGGTGAAAATATATATTAAATCAATTTGAGTCTTACAAATAAATTGAGCTGCATACAAGAGATATTTTGCGTTTCACAAAGTTCGATAAGATAATTGTAAATTTCCGACTCAATTAAAAGCTGAACAGACATATGTTGACATGTTTGCATCCCGGTGCATCCGGTTGCATCACGGTTTATCTGTGATAAACCGTGATAATCATATCAGTGCGTGCATATTTGTTTAAAATAATTCTCATATCGTAATATATATTTTACTTAAAGAAATTACCGGAAAAATACGCACTTGCTTGAAGAGAAACGTTTATTTTCTTCTTTCTATTTCTTTTTTCCTTCATAGTAGACTTCACAGTAAACTTCATAGTAGACTTCATAGTTTATTATACGTATGCAGTGACAGTTCTAAAAGATTTAAATTTCAAAATAACTTATGTTATTTTATCTTATTATCCTTGCTTTTTATAAAAGGAAAATATATCGCACGCGTCTTCTCTGGTTAATTTAATTGGACATAATGTGCCCGTCAGATATATATTAATGAATTTATTTGAGCCAAATATTTATTTGGCTACCGAAGACTGCTGACAATTTATATAAATATATGCTTTCGTAAGAAACGGAGCATAAAATTGAAATAAAAGAAGATAATATATCTGCATAAATGTGTTTACACACTTTGTCTAATAATGAACACATTTCAACAATATTTACACATTCGATTTTTGGAGTTTTTATACCACTCATTATTCGACAGGTCATTAACGGATTTCATCTCTGAAATTACAACAAAAAACCTAGTGGAGCACATGTTACCTATGGTATTTATAGATGTTTATAGCTGATCTTTTTTATAGCAATGCTTTGGATCTTTCTATCGATATTGCATTGGCACATAAACATATTGAAATATAATTACATTATGAATCCATTCATAATTGTTCGCGTGTCTATATTTGCGTACATCGTAATACTTTTTATCATTTAAATCTATTTTGTTTAGTCGCGAAACAATACGTAGATATATCTATTCTGATCTATTACTTTCTAAAATATCTTATAGAGACTTGCCACATACGCATCAGTGTCTATTTGCTATAAAGCTTTCGTCTACGTCCAGGCAAATCCTCGAGTTGAAGAAAAACAGGATGACATTTTAAAGTAATTAGAGTAACATATAATTTTCAGAAATTACACGTCAATTATCGAATGATAATTGATGGTTACGTATATATATTTTCATAGGTACATAAAAACGCAAACATAGAAGAGACGTGACATAGAAACAAAAATTATTATACAGTTATAAATATTTTCGTATAAACTTATCTAAAAATATAAAAAATAAATATAATAAAATCTAAAGATATAATAAAATCCTTTAATTTAGATAACGCTTTAATGTCATCTTTTTACATTCTCATGTGTTAAAAGATAGGGCTCTTAAGATAATTCCGTCAGCTAGTTGTACATATACTTTTTTTAAAGTTTCCTTTGCTTCTACTTCTATCGGTGTTTTTAGCAGTCAAAGTTCAAAAAAGTTTAAAAAAGATGAAGAAAAGGGATTAGTAGAGTTTGTTGAACATATTATGAAAAGCATATTTTATTTCATCATCATATATGCAATATAAACTATAGCAACGATTATGCCAAACCAGTACAGGTACATGCATCTCGTTGCACTTCGTGTTTTACAAAAGTATATCTACTAGCGACCGATTATGCATTCGATGTACTCTTGTTGTTCTTCATTGTTCACTTAAGTATAAACGATATCGTAATAGTTGTCCTTGTTCGTTCGAGCGCTATAATTCTACTAGTGCGATTCGTAATTCGTTGATTTTAATTAACTAATAAGCAGCATTATAATTTACGTCGAAAACCAATTAACTTTGGTGAATCGTGAGAACGTTCACGAAATTCGTATGTAGGTTTAAAGTATCGCTTTAAAGCGATATTCCCTCCCGTATTCCCTCTAGATATATTTTTGGAAATGCTCCGCTTTGCCATCTTATATCATGATTTATTACCAAGACGATTGTTGATTCACGCGTATAAAAAGTGGCACAAGTATAAAAACGCACGCAAAAGTAGTTCGTCTATTGTTTCTTCGTAATAGTCGTAAGCTCTTGTGGAAGCGCGTAAATGCTCGTTTCGACATCATCTGTCAGGACTGCCTTGTTTTATAAAGTATGTTAACAATATTGGTCTTCAACATACAATTAATCTGGCAAGATAGACTCGTACGCTCGTGAGTCTCGACTTCGGGTGTATCTTTATATGAGACGCACGAGCATTCGCATTAATTTTATCTAATCCTTTGTATTTTCTTTTGCATCATTAAGCTCACAGCCATTGGTGGATAGAATAGAGTCACTCGTGAAACACATTATCAATCAAGGCCCCGTATTCGTCCACGAATGTAGACACGACCGAAAGTGATCGACGGAAGACCTTTGCTCTCCCAAAGGCCACGATCGAAGCACTTTCGTTTCGCTTCTTATTTTACGTCGCGCGATAATTGCGTCGCATGACGTAACGTTCCGACTTAGTCGACGGTAGATCCAACACAGACGTGGGTATTTGGTTGCGTTCTAACGAGAGTGTTACTGACGTATAATAGGAAAGAAAAGATATACATAACGTAGAGAAAAGTACCCTGAACAAATACGTTACAGTCGTAACTACCAGCCGTCGTCATGTATGTGTGTATGCATGTGCGTATGTGTGTGTGTGTGTGTGTGTGTGTGTGTGTGTGTGTGTGTGTGTGTGTGTGTGTGTGTGTGTGTGTGTGTGTGTGTGTGTGTACGTATTACTAAACTAGAGATAAATAAGTTACATTAGTGTTATTCCTAACTAAACCAACTAAACTCAGCAACCCTAAGCACGAAGGAGAGTAAGTCATATTTCTGCGATACATTCGAAACGTACAGTGCTCCTTCGACAAAGGATGTTTAATTGTTCGCGAGGGTGGTCGCCAAGTGAATGCCACGAAAATCCACTGTTTGCACAAGTTTCCCCTGTTCCGTTGCCGCAGCGATACACGTCGTAACTCGAATCTCCGTTGTTTTATAAGTATCATACGAGATTACTGATTATACATGTACACACGCGTCCGTCGTTGCCTAATATCGGAAAATAACTATCGGAAGAACGCAACACCGTGCTACCGGCCACGTCCGCACTCAACCGTGTCTGACTGTACTCGGACCTGGAAGTGCACGATCAGCGGGCAATCTATCGGACGTTCTTGATCTTCCAACGGAGGAAGAGGAACGCGGAAATTCGCAGCACGGCGAATATCAGCAGGAGAGCGAGAATGTCGAGGTTGAAGTCAGCGTCGAGCATGTCGAGCTCCTCCAGCGTCGTCTCCGGATTCTTAAAGTGGCAGTACACCTGAAAACACGCATTTACTTGCGTCAATTGAACGATCGATTGCCGACCCGGACGGCGACATACGATTTCGAATGCCCATCTTACCTGAATGCTCATCTTACCTGAGAACACTTCAGTTTTTCCCGGCCGAAGCTATAAACGATCAAGGCGGTTCCTTCAAAACCGTATCTGATGTAGCTGAGATAGGTGATCCATCGTAGGTAAACCGGGATCGCGTCGAAGCTGACGAAGAAGCCTGAGAAGAGGAGGAACGGTACCGACATCACTGGCGCCAGGAACACGCCGTTCTGCACGTTCATCGCGGCACCGACCACGAAGCCCACTGATTGCGCGACGAAAGAGATCAATAGACAAATCCCCAAGAACATGGAGAATCGTGTGGTGTCCGCCGGTTGGCTGGTGAGGAAGTACACGATAGAGAGGTACATGAAGCAAAATATCGTCTGGAAAGGAAGGAAGAAGAGGACGTGTGAGCAGATCTTGCTTGTTTCAGCGACGTATCGCCGGATGAACTCCGGTCCGTAAGATGAACTTTGTGTTGTCGGCTGTTATCTTTTTCCCCCTTTTTTTTGCTTTTCAACTTTACGGTCTTACCTGGAATGGTATGTCCGCAAGGGTAATTGCTAAGTAATACGCCCTCAAGGAGTACCATCTGTTGAAGTTCTCCTTCAAAAGTACAGGCAGTTCTAACGGGACTGGAAGTAAGCAGAAAAACGGATTTAGCTACCGCGTGTCCGCGTGCGACGTGAGATCGCGTGGTCGATATGCGTAAGAAGAAGAGGTCAGAAGACTCACAGGACAAAATAGTGATTGTCATGGAAGTGTACATAAGGAATAACATGTTGAAAAACAGGAATCCCAGATTGCTAAGTACTTTGGCGCCGTCGTTCCCGATGTCGTAGTACAAGGCGCTGATCAATAACGCCACCAGGACATGAGCAAAGAACCGCAGCCACATGAGAGTCTGCGAAATCATACATTACGAATAAGCATTGCGGAGTGTACGAAACCGGGGAGAAAGCCGTTCGACGCTGAAAAGGCACAAAAGAATAACAAAAGAGTGTACACGAGGCGCGCTGGGGAGATTCAGTCGACTATTTCGGCGAGAGAGTTCGCCGAACTTACGACACACGCATACACCGCCAAGCAGAGAGGAACTTCTCGGCTCTCTTTCAAATACCCACCCAGTCTCTGCGACTGAAGAGGAAAGTGCGCCTGAGGATGGTGTAGAACTGCATCCATTCGGACGTGGCGTATCTCTCGGGCGCCACCACAATGGATTGTTCTTCGAGCAATGCCACGTTGGCGTTGTCCTTCTTATCGGTGTCAACGGTTATCGCAACGTCCATCGCTGAAAAGTCAATCGCGCTCTAGTTCTCCGTCATATTGTTATGCGCATTTTTACGAATATTTAACACGTCAGACGGGCGAGCCTCAGTTCACGACAGAGTGTTCGTACAACGGGAATATTGTACGAAGTCGCCCGAGTGAGGCGGAAAAAGAGGCGAACGTCTGAACTCGCATACAATTGCGTTTTGTGTCGCACCGCGAGAAATAATCAATGCCGCGAGCAGCGCTCGATGCGCGTCGTCATGATTGCGTCACGTTACACGGGCGTAGGAGGTGTTATACCTTGCTTAGCGATGTCATTCGTGGCGTAGGTGGAAATGAATTTCCCGTTGTTAATGTCGTCCGACTTGCTGTCCGGAAACTTCTCCTCCTTCAGGTTGCTCACGTCGTTCTTATCCTTTATGTTCGCCGCCTTCTCCGTGCGTTCTTCGGCGTTCTTCAGGATACCGGTCGCGGCGGTGCAATTGTTCATTCCCTCCTTCAATTCGGGAAACGGCTGGCCCTCGCGTATGTTGTACTTGCCGTTGTCTATGGCGTTCACCAGTTTCTTTATGTTGTCGCCGTATTCGCCGCATGACACTTCGATGACTGGAAAGCAGATTGGGAAATCAAATTTTTGATTACCAAATTTATGATCGTTGAATTTGAAGAAAACACTTTCTTGGACGACGGTACGTATATGTATATTTTTTTTTTTTTCAAATTCGATCGTCAGACTTAATCGTTTGACTTAATCTCGACGGGAGTAAAGGAACGTTTGAGCGTAACATCATCTTCCACAATGTCTCCTGGACGGAAACTTACTAAATGATGCCGGGTTGTGGTAGCTCGGGCAATTAAGGCCAATTATCCTTAAGAATGCTACCAGCTGCGACGTGGAGCCCTGGTAGACGCATTGACCTTCGGCCAGGGTGTAGAGAGAATCGAACATCTCGAAGAGCCTCGCGCTCGGCTGATGAATGGTGCAGACTATCGTTCTGCCGCCACGTGCAAGAGTCTTCAATAACGAGATGCATTGGAAGCAAGACGAGGAATCCAGGCCGCTGCGGCGGACAAACCGTATAATCAATTTTCTGGGTTCAATCAGTGTTATCGCATGCTACTTAAATCTCCTCGCCTCCACACCGCCGTTATGTCTTTTGTCGTATAGGCGAGAACGCGAGACAACAAGGAGAAAATAATAAAGAAATGTCGTTTGGACTGACAGGGGCATTAAAGAAGCTTGTTAAAGAGCGTCGTTAAAAGTTTCGCGTGATCTTTTGTAATCGCGTGGAAAGTATCAGGTAGATTCGAATTAGACTAGTCGACGATTAACATATAAGACGTTAATTCGTCGGTTAATTCGGTGTTTTCGCTTTCGGAGGTGACTTCCCAGCGCAAGTTATAGCGGACAATTACCGGGCCTTGAAAGGACCGGTTGCGCCGAACATATTTGACATGCCGAAACCCAGCGCCATAAGGAACAATTTTTCAGAACCGGTTGGAAATGAGATATGTTTTGCGGAAACGTTTGGCGCTACGTGTCAAGGTACCGGTTACCAGTTTTGAACATGTCCCGCGGTGCTGGTATGGAATATTTGCGCCGTTTTTATCGTTAGACGGAAGGCTAAACGAAGTCATTTATCGAGATGGTCGAAACAGCGGACAGATAGCAGTGATACTTTCGTCGTTCACGGTATACGTGTGCACAAAAATCCGACGTACTGTGTTTCAGTGAAAGTATCCGCCGAGAAAAAACGTCTCAAAAACGGGACATTGATCATTTACTTTCACCGACTATTATGTACTCTCTTATACCTCGTCTCGAACTGAGTGAAATGACCCGGGCATTTCTTCGAGCTCTTCGAGCTTGGTCGTCTTGAAAAGATAAAGTATATACGATTCTCTCTGATACAATGCATAAAAATAACAAATAAATCGGTCGTACGTTTCGTTAGCGGTGTGTAATCGAAGTGGCCGGAATTACTCGGGTTTCGCGTAAGGACGCAAGCGAACATGAACCTTTGAAATAAGACGCTACTGCTGCTGTGCTTAGCGGCGATTATTGTTACAGCGGATTCCACAATGCTGATTTCACAGAGTCGCAGGTCCGAAGCGTATGACACTCATAAAAGTTCTAGGGGGAAACTACGTATACGCATAAGATGCGTGATGTTTATTGAGACTTGTACATTCCGCGTTCTTAAGAAAGAGCAAGTTCATTTCATTGGCATTGACTATACTGGCATTCGATTAAGGAAATTATATTAAGACGGAACAGGATTTCTTTCATGGGCATCGATCAGCGAAAGCGAAAGGTATTGCCTGGGTCGTTTTACTGAGAACTTTGTAGTGGAACACACGCACACTCACACGCATACACACACATACTTATGCTTATGACACTTTCTGTATTCCTTTTTATTATTATCAACAACTTGCTCAATCCGCAAGATCGTCCATCGTGGAGTCAAAAAATTGTTATGCACTGGTGAATGGTGATAAAGCAATTTAATTATAAAAAATTTATTTCTGCATTGCAACACTGACACATTGTGAGTGTAATCTCGCATTCGATATGTCAGAGTTATAAAATTAATGCACAAGTGACGAGTGTGTGCAATGATAATAATTTACGATTGCTGCCTCGCGCAAGATACAAAACTCACCTAGTTGGCTCGTCGAAAAACATTATAGGAGGATTGTTGACTAACTCGAGGGCGATGGAAAGCCTCTTCTTCTGGCCACCACTCAAGTTCGAGGTCATGGTGTGACGGTGCTCAGACAAGCCGAGTGTTTCAAGGATTTCTTGGATCTAAAAAGTAAAATGCCAATGAATCATTGATGAAAAAAGTTGTAGGTTTCGTTGCACAAATTGACGCTTCTGTTCGATGACATAGAAGAGACGTATGAATAAAAGAGGGAAAAGAAAATATATTTATATATTATACATATATTAGGTGTACAAATGAATAATCCAATTTTTTTCAGCTACATTCAAGGTTTATTTTATTTTAAAAGAAAGTAAATTAAATCGCTCAATCAAAGTATTCGCCGTTGCTTCCTATAACTTTAAGCCATCTTTCAGGCAGCTGATGAATTCCATCTCGGAAAAATGTTACGTCTTTGGACACGATAAAGTCGTCAAGCCATTTTCGGATCTCATCCACTGATTGGAAGTGCATATCGGACAAGGCGTGTTGCATCGACCGGAACAAGTGATAATCGGATGGAGCAATGTCTGGTCCCAGCCAAGACTCATTATGGCGTCTTTTGTATTGGAAGCAATGTGTGGCCTGGCGTTGTCATGCAACAATTTCACTGAACGTTCTCCTTTGCCAGTATACGGGCGTTTTCGTTTCAATTCTTGACTCGAGCAGATTAATTGACGTTGGTAGCAGTCCGCAGTAACTGTTTCACCCGGTTCCAACAACTCATAATAAAGCACGCCCTTGATATCCCACCAAATGCAGAGAAGAACCTTCTGCGTTTCGGATTGTCATAGAGTATCCATTTCTCATCGCCCGTAACGATTTTCCACAAGAAAGACTTTCGACGCTGCTTATTGAGAAGAGAAAGACACGCTGCCACTTGTTGATTTTTGTTGGTTTCAGTGAGTTCATGCGGAACTCATTTTCCTTCTTTCTGGATCTTTCCCATCTCATGTAGGCGTTTAGAAATCGTTTACTGCGTTACTCCCAAGATTCTGCAAGCTCTTTTTGTGTTTGTGCCGAATTCTCAGCGAGCAGTTGTTCCAAATCATCATTATCGCACTTCAGAGGGCCTCCAGGGCGTTGTTTGTCGATTAGACTGAAATTACCGCTTTTAAACCGCTTAAACCAAAATGCGCACACATCGTACGATATAACACTTTCGCCGAGAAAGGAACAAATCGATTCGCACGCTCTTGCAGCATTTTTCCTTGTTGGAATTCGTAAAGAATGCAGTATCGGATATGCACCTTGTCTGTTGCCATTTTCGACTGTACTGAACTGAATACTTTTGAAGGTTATGTTGGGCCTTTCGCCAAACTATATGTTCTTTTTAATAGCTATATGTCAACATTGCATAATCATAAAAGAGCGGGAAAATCTATTCAATTTAAAATTGATTTCATAACTGCTTAAAATAATTTGGATTATTCATTTGTACACCTAATACATATATATATGAATTATATTTTTTATTAATTTTTTTTTCCACATACATATTGCCGTGCACGTAATGTCCTTGTATTTAACGTCACTATACGAGCGATAATTAATTTCGTGATCGAACGGAATTTTTCTAACGACCGATAGATTACAGCTGTGAGATAATTGCACCGTACGATGCAAAGTACGATTGCAAAGTACGATGAGAACATTTGGCAAGAATAAACGAAGCAACTGCGCATCGCTGTTGCATTCCGACGTGTCAGATCTCTTACAAGACCAACGAATCTGATAAGAGAGTCAGCTTACCACTTCTTCTTTCTCCACTTTACTGATGTGTGAACCAAGTTTGAGGCTCGCCGCAACCTTCATGGCTTCCGTCACCGTTAGATTCGCGTGAAGTTGATTATCTTGCATGATGTAGCAGGAAAGCTTCCTGAAGGCACTGAGGTCTCTTTCCTGGCCATTTATTGTGATCAAACCTTCCATACCTGACGTCCTGGTAAAATATTTTTAATGAATAGCTTGCAAAAGTCTCTCTAATAGTCTCATTTATCCGAATATTTGTCAATATTATAAAATTGACTCGAGAGACTCTCGTCGTTATTTATTTTCTTTCTAATTTATTCGATCTCGAGGGCATAGATCGCGTTAAAAGGAATTGTTAATGAGCCGAACCGTGAACGTTCTGTCAACCTTGTTGAAAAAGGTTCAACAAGATCACCTCGAGAAGATATAAATCTTCCGACGTCATACACGGAAGAAACTCTCAGTGTCAGATTATTCGCGAGCGCTTTCAATCGTGGATGAGTACCGCCGTACCACTCACACGGATATCGTGATTGGTCGTGAAACCGGTTTGGAAAATATGATGGAAAAGGAACGAGCGAATGAAGCGCAACAACTTTTACGCACGACACGCGGTACATTACATTGTGCCATGCAGGCAAACTCTCTGGAATCGTGTATGATCGTGAAATAATTAAAGAAATTAAACTTACTGGCCTGGAAATGCGTATGAACGTACGCGATAATCGAGAAAGGCCAGAAATCGCCGCGTTTATGTCTCGCGAATATTTCGCTGTCGCCTACATTGTGTACACACGTCGTTTCTTCCGTCACTGCATTATGGGAAAAATATTCGCTTTGAACGGAATTCGATGTCAAAATCTGACATCGCCGTGTCGCCAATTGCCGCGAAAGAGCCAATTTGCCAGCGGTGATTATACAAAATTGTCCCTTGCGACACCGCGGATCGCGCTGATGAAAAGCGTTTTACGGGCCAATTAACGAGGTCGGATTTGTACGTCAAGAAAAAATGCAACCGACTCGAGACATGGCCTGGCGGCGATCAATCTTTGCTGCACGAACGTCAATTTATGACACTTCCAAGTCCTTGTACAATTTAAAGGTAAATACACGGTGAGAACGCTGAAACTAGCGCTGATCTCTCGCGACGAGCGAGCGGTCGTACAATTCCCACAAAATAGAACGGAAACGAAAACGCGTCTCGACATCGGCCTCTTTATCACTCGACCGGATGAAAGAGGAATTCTACCGATACTGAATATCGAACAGAAAATCTCTGAGACAACATTTGACGAATCACGCTCTGAAGGCTACATTTAAATGCTGGCTACTTTCTTTAGGACAGTAAAACCAAGGAAACATTCGTGTAAACAAATTATACCGACTATTTTATTCACCGTAATGATCATGACGTTAAATATCTTGAAGAAAATGCGCCGTTTTCAACGAAAGACAATGTTTTGTGTGTAATGTTTGTCAAAGCTAGATTTCACATTCCTCCAGCCATGATTCTCATGATTCTCTTCCGAGACGCCTGAACAAAGAAGTTCAAACGCGTCGTTTGTGTCGTCGAGCAGAACGCTTCGAAGCAGCCAACCGATCGAGGACAGCATGTCGAGGTAGAAAGTTTACGGGCCGCGAACCTAGGGAACGATAATTCGATTTGAAATAATACTCAACTTGCCCGCTTTCGCAGCGGCATTCCAGTATAGCGTACGATCGTCGTATTGCACGTGACAATGATAATGAAAACGCGTGGCAGGTGCGATTATTTTCATCTTGTTGAGAGAACGCGTCTCTTTCATTATCGCCTTAACCTTCATCTGGCCAGCGGCGATCGGTGTTTCTACCGCTGTAGTTTCGTAATGGCGAAACACGAAGAAAGCGAGATTGTGTCTCCCGGAGGAAAGTGAGATCGCAGTCTGGCGAAGAAAGCGAAACGGACCGTTTCGATAAAAACTGAAAGTGCCCGCGAGGTCGCGGCAGATTATGCGAACGAAATATCCTTCGTGCGCGGTCGAGCGCTCATGATGACACCGTGCCTCACAATGACTGTGTGAGGTGGTTCCGAGAGAGTGCAGCGAACATCGAGGGTCAACGCTCTTGTTTTTGTCGCGTGACATGAAAGGGAAACGCACGAGGACCAAAGTCTCGCGCAAAATGACTTTTCTATCCGCCGTTTTCCCAACATCGCGTGTCACGCGCGTTTGTCGCGACGTAGTTGAGGTGACAGGCGCTGATTTTTCACAGAAGTCTTATTTGGTAGTTCAAGCGGTAGCTGCTCGACAGATCGCTAACGGCGTAATTCCGATTTTGCCTGCTGACGCGTATTCCAGGCATGAAAAAGCAAATAGCTTTGAGCAACGTACAGTTCTTCTCTCGATGACCTCGCGATAAGATGGAGATATGGTTGGGACCAAAAAGATGATAGATCTCGTCGCAAGATAAGAATGTAATGAAAAAAATGTTGCATGTGAAGACGCGTAAACGCGTCATAAAGTATAACGAAAATAAGAAAGTCGTTACGTGTGTCTTTCCCTTGCGATCAGTTTATACGAGGCCTTTCATGTTTTATCTGAATATACGAATATACGTATATGTGTGGGTATGTAAGGGACACGCGCTTGTGTGCACGTGTCTCTCTGCGCGCGATTACTCTTTTATTAGCAATACACGATAACCCTATCGCAGAGTGTACAAATTCCATGCGCACGTTGACTCACTTGTATCCGGTGAGGATGTTCAGTAACGTAGATTTCCCCGCGCCAGAAGGGCCCATAATAGCCGTCAATTCGCCAGATCTCAGCCTGCCGCTGACGGATTTGAGGATCGTCTTCGTATCTGAAAGTAGGACGCGAAACTCTGTTGAACCAATTTGTGCAAGAATTAAAGGAGAATTTCTCACTTATCGCATCATTCTGTCAACTTGAAAACTACTTAAGAATTAAGTTTCGTTCTTAATTACATTGTTTTTTATGCAACTGCACCATTGCACCGTAATATTGTTATTGTAATTACATTGCAATCAGCTACATTGGATTAGATTAAAGTTTATCTTTCTGTCAGAGACGCGTTTTTGCTGAAGTGTACGTAACATTTGCGGAAATATGAACACGCGACAATTACTTTTAATGAATACTAATTATCGTGAAAAAACGCACGAACGAAACATGAAATGCGTATCCATGGATGAGAATGGATAACGTGGAATGAGCAATAAATTGCGGGTTAAAATGTGCACGTGAACGTCGCAGAGTCGTTAGAGATAAGCTCGCACATGCCTCGGATAATAATTATCAATTTAGCAATTAACCACGTATTGCTTGATGTTGAACGCTCGATGAACGCTCGCCGATTAATTGGAACTAAACATTTGTTTCTTTTCTCTTTCCCTTTTTCTTTTTTTAACAAGAATGATAGTCCGTCCGTTGGTAATGATCAATCGTCGTACCAAGATTGCACGAGCATAATTTCTGCTTTACGTGACATCAGAGAGCTACTAATATTGCATGTACCCTAGTAACGCATAATACGAGATATCGGAAAGAAAGGACAGGACAAAGTCCACACGATGAATAAGCTTGCACACTACATCGCACCCGCGAATAGTGTCGATTCGCTTGTCCAATGTGTGATTCATAAGTAACCGCAGAGCTGGAAGACCGATTTAATTGTCGAGCTTGTAACACAGGAAACCCAAGTTGAATCACTTCAAGTTCGATTGTTGAATCTCGATTGTGAGGTGCAAAATACAATGCAATAATAGAAGTAAAAACGAACGTTTCTGTCACTAAAACTGAACACATACGCACACACGCGATTTGTACGTATTAATTCGACAAAAATAGATTCACCTTAAATTTTTTACTTTTCCTAGCTTTTAATTATTTTGCTTGTTTTATTATGCATATTAGTTAATCAGAACGCACTGAAGCAAATGATTAATATTCAGGGTCGGCTTTTTTCTTTGATATCGATTTAATTGAATATCGGTTGCCAATCAGGTATTGCAATGCGTTGTATATAGAGAGAAATTTCTTTCGTTATATTTCGAAAGAAGTATCCTTAGAACGCGCGCGTAAGATGCAAAATATCGCTGGTAAGATATCCGCTTATTATTCATGTGTCGTATAAACGGTCCAAAGCAACACCATTTGCCCGGTACGGACTTTGATAAAATTTCGTCCGGCGCGCTTTAGTTCATCTCCTCTTTCGAGGAGCATGTCTCGTGTACGAGCAAAGACCAAAGTCATTTCACAACGCGGCGCCAGACGTGATCTTCTTAATCGCGAAATACGAGAAGTGTTTCACGTTTAGACGAGCGTATCGTGATCAAAGTTAATTTACAGGGCGAAAACAAAGAAAGATATCTAAGCGGGTACATACCGAAAGCGGATACCTACGTCATCCGCTACGTAGGGGAACAGTGGATGCGGGGAATCCGATTGTCTTATTAAGGTCAAGAGTCGTATATCTTGACTCCCTGGTTTTATATCGTACCTCGATTTCACTGGCGGGGAGAGATGTCGTGCTCGTTTCAAAATCATGTACAATTCCTGAATAGCACTTTAGCAATCGCACGTGGTCCCCTTAACCGGAGACGTTTAATCTTACTTTACCTACCTGCCTACCTACCTACCTACCTACCTACCTACCTACCTACCTACATCATCATTATCGTTCAAGCACGGAGAAAAAAAAATAACGAGCATGTCGACATATTGTTGACGCGCGAAAGGCTCACCGCGTGCAGCTTCTCACGCAATGAACCGTACAATCGGCGAAACAATGGATTCTACTCAGCAGAACGGCGGACACCCGCCGACTCGGGAAACTCGACGTAACCGTGACGAATTCAAGCGAACCGAAAGCGCGAATTGACGTTAAAAATTCCGTCAAAAGTACAGCTAAAAGTACACCCCTTTGCGGTGAGCCAAAGTCACTCGGAGAGGACTCGTCTCAAGGAGGACGACCGCAAAATATCGCGAGAGATTTTTCGCTCGCTAGTTAGTTAGTTCGCTTAGTTTGCGTAATACATTGAAGAAGAAAAAAACGCGTCGCAAGACAGGTCGCCGATCATTCTCGTTCGTTTTTGGTCATCGCCTAATTGAACATTTCGCATGAAAGTGACGGTGAAGTAATCGGACTTGAAGCAACCGTTCGCATTACGCTCACGTATGAACGTTTCGCGTTAGTGCTGCTTTCCTATGAGACCGCAGTGTTACGTATGCACGTAAAGTGGCAATTTAACATTCCCTGACGAGGATAAATACCGTCGGTGTCACGTACGCCATTCATAGGAGTACCGTCGAGCCGTCACGTGCGTAAATATTTGAGAGCCGGACGACGAAGAGCCGTAACGAGACAATAAAATACTTCTTGATTCCGACTCAAGGTGAACTGCTTCTAATTCGCTCTAGACGCGCATAAATACTCTCAGAGTAGAACTCAGAACAGATAACTAATGATGAATGAAGGTTAACTAAGAGAGTGGGATACGGGTAGGAATCTCTGAATATTTAATGTAATCGTAGACTACATGAGTAGTCATTAATCAACGACGGCCAAAATTATAGTTGAAGGTCCATTGATGACGTATTATCGCGGATCTACAGAAGGAAGTTGAAATTACGTGTTCTCCAGGGATGTCATGTTCGCAATTGCGCGACATTAAATCGCGCGTCAAACTGCCTATTTTTGCCCAACTCGGTGCCAACTACTTTTTAAGAGCTACGATACCATAATTGTCAATTAAATGGAACGTCACGCTCGTTTCCTCGGATTGGGCACAAATGCTGCTGTTGTTACTTCCAATGCTAATTTCTGCAGAAAGATCTTATACATCCACGTCGCGCGGAATGGGTTAACGTGCGTTATCATCTACCGCTTCTTAGGATAATTTATCTACTCGCTGCTTGAATTCATAATATTATGCTCCGCGACTACTAACGGCCGTATAACACATTGATCTTATATAATTATCTTTCTACGAACTAGTGTTGCCTCGCGCGCACACGCGCAGCATTATACGATATGCGAATATCAGAGATCGTAAATTACCGCGCGAACTTATCCACGCTTGTACTTATCGCGCTGTTCATAAATAGCCGAAGTAACAAGGCGTTGTAACCAATTCGACAAAAGACACTTTGGCAATATGGCAAAAGTCGTCACTTTATTTAATATGTTAACGATTCATGAATAAATTAACGGCGTTTAAGCCTTTTTCCTACGGCGATTTGTACCACGTTGACGCTGACTGTACTTGGCGCTTCTGGATATGACGTGTGCACATGCTGCAGCGAGCACGCAAGCACCGTTATCGCGCGCGGGAGAACGAGCGGTTTGTTTAAAGAAAAAGGAACGTCCACAAAGTGCACGCACTGTTGACCCGGTCTTTGTTTCTCGAAAAGCGAACAGAGAAAGCAATGACCCGCGCGCACGCTGCGCTGACGATTGCTTTGTCAATGGCAAAGAGCTACATGTGTATGATCAGTGTAATTAAAAATAGATGCTTTACGCGCCCGTCTAAAGATACGCGACTATTTCTTGGATACACAGCCACGTTGTATACTCGGTAAGCACAAACGACTCACAGCTCGTTGCGACTCACGCTGTGTATCGTATTCAACGAAGGTCGGCCGCCTTCTAGACAATATAGAGCAGCGGTCTGTGATACACTCTCTCTCTAATACATTAGAAAAATCATATTAGGAACATGACATACTTATCGCTGCTTGATATATTCCGTGTTGCAAAGGTAGCGTTAACTTTCTAAAATTTTTCTAAAATATAAAGATATATCATGTAACATGACATGTAAGATATAAAGACCATTTCAACATCGTACGCGCATCGTACGTTCCATTAACTCGATCTGATCGGTCCAAACTAGCTTCCATCACGTCAGCAGTTGAAGTAAAGATAGAAGTTAAATTTATCGATAAACTTTATTTTTATCGCTCGCTATTCCCCTGCATAGCTCGGAGGTGCGATTATGGTAATTGTATCGCAGTCGGCAAATACAAAGTATCTGCAAATTAGTGTACAAAGTACCAATGCGCTTGTAATAATATGCATATGATGCTAATTTCACCATTACATGTCAACCGGTTGGTCGCGTACGTGGAATGTGGCAGACCATGCGTGAATGACGCATTAACTCGAATCCTGCATTCACGTAAAGAAAGAGAGAGAGAGAGAGAGAGAGAGAAAGGGGGGCAGGCCGATTAAGTTTGTCAATTTCGATCGTGGAAGAAGCTGCGCGCCGAATTACGCAAATCGCGAATTACGAAAAAAACTCACTTGTTGCAGCACGCTTGACGACCTTTTTGTACGGCGTTTAATTTATTCCGATCGTTTGCGCTAAATATACAAGGAGAGAGAGAGAGAGAGAGAGAGAGAGAGAGAGAGAGAGAGAGAGAGAGAGAGAGAGAGAGAGAATGTGTGTGTGTGTATGTGTGTGTGTGTGTGTGTGCATATATGTGAATGCTCGCGCGCACAGGTGCGCCTTTATTTGCATGCCTCGTGTATACGTGTAAATATAGAAGAAAGAATGAGAGGTGAAGAGTTGGACAGACGGACACAGAGTACGTAAAGACGGATATGTATATGTGTGTGTGTGTGTGTGTGTGTGTGGAGGCAGGTCTCAAAATCTTACGCCAACCTATTTATCTTAAGGAGGCCGCGGGACTTTCTTCGTTTTATTTTGCAATCGACCAAACGGCCGCACAATAATGTCTCACATCACATCGCCGCGACCGTATATAGCATAATCCCGCGGATATCAGTCGAATGTAATGCCGTCAGATGATGGCTCCGATGTACTTGAATCGCGATAG